TCGTACTAGAGGTGCTGGAGCTGCCAGAGCTGGTGGTACTGCTGATGTTGGAGATGTTGGATGTGCTACTGGAGGTGCTGGAGCTGGAGGTACTGGAGGTGCTGGAGCTGTTGACGCTACAGGTACTACGCTACGCCGACCGTTTCTCTACCCGCCGCAGCAGTCATCCCTGCCACCACCTGACTCGGCCCTTCGCCAGGTTCTTAGTCTCCCGTCTTCCACTGGCCTCACTCCACCTGTCCTGTGGCCACCGTCTGACCGGTCTCAGTCATAGTTGCCATGTGGCTCCCCACTGCCTTCTCCTTCTCCCTACACTGAGCTGCCAGACTCTCTGACTGAGCTTCGTGAGCCTGCGTCTCGTGCCTCCACACATGTTCGTGCTCGTTGTGTCGCCCGTCCTCGTCCTCCTCCTTTCACAGGCACTCACATTATGGCACCTCGTCCTTCCTCTGTTCCACAGCGCGTTGCCCTGCCGTCTCCTTTGGTGTCCTCTCTTCCTGATGTGTCTGACCCTGAGTCCGACCTTGCTCGTGCTGCCATTCTTACTGTCACTCGTCTCCTCGCTACTGTCGTCAGTGACCATGGCTTTGAGTCTATTGTTGTGTTTGCCCTAGTCATTGAGCGGATCGACTATGCTTCCATGAGTCGTCTTGACTACGCCGCGAGTCTTGTTACTGAGTCTGAGCTTGTATGTCCTCCGTTCGTCGGGGGTGAGCCTGCCCTTAGCAGTGACGTCCTTGAGGACAGACAGTTTGAGCTTGAGTATCTTGCGGCCGCTTTATCTCGTTTCTCATCCATGTTGCTTTGCCCTGAGAGAGACCCAAATGCACTTGACATCCCTACCCCGCGCTCTTACTCTCAGGCAATCGCGGGTGAGTACTCATCTCAGTGGAAGACAGCCATGGATGCAGAGATGGCTTCCTGGAAGTCCATAGGCACCTATGTCGACGAGGTTCCTCCTCCTGGGGCGAACATAGTCGATCGCATGTGGATTTTCAGAGTGAAGCGGCCGCCGGGTTCTCCGCCTGCCTTCAAGGCGCGTTACGTTGCTCGAGGTTTCAGTTAGCGACAGGGGGTCGACTTCTTCCAGACCTTCTCCGCGACCCTGAAGATGACTACTCTTTAGGTGTTGCTGCATGTTGCAGCACAGTGTGACTACGAGCTGCACTCCCTCGACTTCTCCACAACTTTCCTGCAGGGCAACCTTCACGAGGAGATCTGGTTGCGCCGCTCACCTGGCTTCACTGGGTCATTTCCTGCGGGTACCCAGTGGAGTCTCTGGCGGCCAGTCTACAGTCTCCGTCAGGCGCCCCGCGAGTGGCACGACACACTGAGGACGACACTTGCGGCTCTTGGGTTTTCTCCTTCCTCTGCTGACCCGTCGCTGTTTCTACGCACCGACACTACCCTGCCGCCGTTCTACGTTCTCGTGTACGTCGACGACTTGGTTTTTGCTACTGCTGACAGTGAGGCACTGGCCCTAGTGAAGGCGGAGCTGCAGGAGAGACACACCTGCACTGACTTGGGTGAGCTGCGGAGCTATCTTGGCTTGGATATTACCCGGGACAGAGCACGGTGATTTATCACCCTGACTCAGTCACACATGGTGCACGAGGTCCTTCAGCGCTTCGGCTTTCAGTTCTCCTCGCCACAACCCACTACTCTGCCTACTGGCCACTCGCTCTCAGCTCCACCTTCGGACGAGTCCACAGAGCCGAGTGGTCCGTATCCAGAGCTTGTGGGTTACCTCATGTACCTGATGACGTGCACACAACCTGACCTCACGTACCCTCTTAGCCTCCTGGCTCACTATGTGGCTCCCGGTAGACACCGAAAGGTGCACTGGGATGCTGCGAAGAGGGTACAGCGTTACTTGTGCAGTACGTCCGGCATGGGGATCGTGCTTGGAGAGGGTTAAGTGGTACTCATAGGACACTCCGACGCTTCTTGGGCTGACGACCAGGCGACTCAGCGTTCGTCGCAGGGTTACACCTACAGTTCTGGCTCTGGTTCTATCTCGTGGAGGTCCACTCGTTCTTCTTCTCTGCTTGGCTCGAGCTGTGAGGCTGAGATCTACGCTGGTGCTACGGCTGCACAGGAGCTACGCTGGCTGACCTACCTGTTGACCGACTTGGGGGAGCGGCCTCGTTCTCCTCCAGTTCTGTACGTCGACAACAAGGCCATGCTTGCCTTGTGTTACGAGCAGAGACTGGAGCACAGAACGAAGCACATTGCTCTTCGCTACTTTCTTGCTTGAGAGCTGCATCAGCGTGGGCAGCTTCGCCTTTCCTACGTGGCCTCTCGGGCCAACACTCCTGATGTCTTCACCAAGGCCCTCGAGTCTGGTGATCATCAACATTTTTGCACTGCTCTTGGGCTTCTGCCGACTCTGCCTCACTTGCTTGTCTCTTGATCTTGCACTTGTTGTACACTGATATCTTTATTTATAGCTGCATGTTTACTCTTGCTAGGTTGTGATCAATGTACTGCCTTGCTATTACCGTATCACCCCGGATATAAGCGCAGGCCTATTAAAAGCACATGCGCTTCTATCTGGAGCAATGCGCTTATGGCCGATCCTCAATTATAAGCGCACCCCCTTTAAAAAACGTGATTTATTATAAGCGCATGTTAGTTTTAAATTTGTAAAACTGTCAAATTAATGTAACGAAGCTCGCTTTAGCAAGCTGATGTCTTGAAAATCAATTTTCCTTCGCATTCCAACCCTGCAGGCTGCGCGTCCAGTCAGCATGTGCCGTTAAAAGCGCCTAGTGACTCATTTTGAGTGTATGTGCTGGCAGGGAATCTTTCCCTGCCAAGTAGCGAGAGATTTTCACCCACAACCCTGTTTCAAATCGACTCGATTGGGTGCGCAATGACGCGAACTACATTTTCGTGCTAGTAATTTGAAAATGTATATTTGTCATTTTATAAGCGCATGCGCTTATATTTTTTACCCAATTATAAGCGCACCCCCCTGAAAAATCATGTTATATTATACGCGCAAGTGCGCTTATATCCGGGGTGATACAGTGTAACGGTGCATGTGAACTGGCCTTGTGGCCGGTTGCTTGTGCTCAAAAGGCGTGGTGGTGATCTTGAGATCCACCCTGGGTTTCGCATTGCTTTGTTATCATGCCTGATTGGTCTTGTGACCGTTTGCTGTGTTGGCTATCCCTCACTTTGCCTAGGGGGGTGTGTCAAAACATATTTGTATGTTCTTAGGGTACATTCCGCTCTGGACATGTCCCAATCGAAAGTGTCTCAATCGTTTCTACCGCACTGCATCGTATTACACCAAATTGCACCCTAGTTTTAATTTTTTCGCGTCTCTGGTTCAGTTCGGTTCGGAGCGGTACACTCGATTGGGACACATCGATTGGGACAGTGTCCACAGCGGAATGTACACTTAGTTCTGCTAGACTACAGTGAGGTGCTGAGTATAGAGTACAACCCCACATAGGGTTCCATACTTGTTATCTCCCTGTTCCTAGTCATTCATCATTCCTGTTCACGTATTCTAACAGGCGGGGCGGGGTTTCACTATAGAAAAAGAAGAACATACAGCAATCAAACAAGCAAAAACAAAGGTGCACCGCCTCACCAGCAAACAATACTACAGAAAATTAGACACGCAGTTATAAAATATAACATATATGTTTTTTTACACTCCCCCATAACTGCCTGCAGGAGAAACATGTGCAGAAAACCCTTTAATAGGGTACACCAGGGTGCAGTGGAAGGAGGAGAGGCAAGCGAGAGAGAGAGAGAAAGGAGAGGAGGAGGCGGGCGGCGGCTGAAGCTGCTGACGCACGGGCTACTGGAGCAACTACCTCACAGGCAACTAGCTCACGGGCAACTAAAGTACGGTAACTAGCTCGTACGCGTAGAGCAAGACGCTCGTACGGCTAGAGCAACTGACTCACGGACGACTGTAGCAACAGGCTCACTGGCGAGTGGAGTTGCTGGCTTCAATTGTCGCAGACTCCTTTCTGAAGCTTGACTGTGTCAGGCAGGCACACGCGGGTTGATTTGACGAGCTTGTCGATGCAGTCGTATCCGTTGACTTTCCTGTAGCAGCCCTTGATGCCCCGGAAGTACTTCACCTGAATGGCCGTGCACCTGTCGCCTGTCCCCACCACATACGCATTCGCAAGCGGGCACGTGCCCTGAGTGTACGACGTAGAGCTCGCAATGCATGCCTGGTGGGGTGGAGGGGAGAGGGAGGAAGAGGGGTGGAGTGCAGAAGAAAATGGGATCGGGTTAGCCTTTGCTGAGCAATAAGGATATGGAAGAAGACAAGATGGTTTGTGCAAGACAAGGAGGAATATTCATCTGTGAGCCACGAGGAAGGGCAGAGAGGCATGAGCAGAGCCGGTGCCACACACACACCTCAAAGCCAGTGAAGCCATTGACGTCAGTGTTTGGAACGAGGTGGTTGCACTTGATGCCGGGGTTGAGACGGAAGAAGTCAACGGGGCTCAGAGGGGGGTAGGGCACATTGCGGATGGACTCGCACGTCTCTGCGCTCTGCACCAGGTAGTACTGCGAGCACACCGGGATGAGCCCCACTTTCTTCTTTATGCGCTCCACACACACCGCCTGCTCCGGCTGCAGCAGCCCGCCGTTGGCATCGCAGTCCAAGCTGGGGTTGAGCGCCTGGAAGGCTGGCAGGCAGCTGGCAGATGGGCAGGACCAGTGCACTTTGAAGTACACCGCTAGGTCCGCACAGGTGTCCCCCTGAGAATGAGATGGCCAGGGAAGAGGACGTGGAGAAGGTGGGACGCAGGGGAAGCAGGAGTGAGAGAGTGTGAGGGAGAGTGTGAGAGTGTGAGGGAGAGAGAGGTTAAAGGAACATTCAGTCTGGGATCTGGACATGGTAGTTAAAATGAGATGGAGGGGGGACGGACAGGGAGCGGCACAGAAAGTCATGGGTAAAGGTGCATATAGAGTAAGATGGGGACGATGGTGCATAGGCAGGAAGGGTGCGAGGTGGGGACCTGCTGAGTGGTGTAGAAGACGGAGCAGGGGATGAGAGAGGCTGGGCTGGCCACTTTGAGCACAGTGGAGGGTGGGATGGGTGCTGCACACGACACCGATGGCTGCACACACCGAGGGAGAGGCATGAAGGGACACGGCACACACCCAGGCAGGTACGAGCGGGAAGAAGACAGGGGAGGCAACTGCTGGTTTGCTGTGGGGCAGGAGACGCAGGTTTTGGCCCTATATGTTCGCCGGTATCATTTCTGAGAATTCTCAATGGTGCAGGAGACGCACGTTCTGGTGTTCAAGTAGAACCTTTGGGGCTTCTCAAGAGAGCAGGGAACGCACGTTCTGGGCTTGGAATTTGGCGAGCGTGAGGCCGTAGACCGGGAAGACATCGGAGCAGCGGACGTTGGGAGAGAGCACGGTGTAGGTGGTGTTGGTGTCACCTGCATGCAGCCCAGCATGCAGCACAGCATGCAGCACAGCATGCAGCACAGCATGCAGCACAGCATGGAACATGGCATGCAGCTCAGCAAGCAACATGAGCAGAAGTATCAACAAAGGTGAGTAAATGGGGGGCACAACGCACAGCGTGCAAAATAGAACAACAAAAGTTGCAGAACAACACGCAACATGCAAAAACTCAGCATGGTTGCGGAAGAGAGTAAGCGGGAGGCGCAGTGCACATGCATGGTTACTGGGACTTGAGCTGGGTCTTTATGCTTACGTGTCAGTCATGCACATAACGTTTACGTAACACCAGGCCTTTTAGTGCACTCAGGCTTAAAACCTTACCGTTAATTCTTGTGAATATGTGTTACGAATGGACTATGTTCTCATCATTTTGTAACGGAGCACAGGAGAAGGTGCCAGGAGCACAGGAGACGGTACCTGGAGCGCAGGAGAAGGTGCCATCGACGGTGGTGCCCTGTCTGAAGCCCGGTGGACACACACACGAGTACGACCCCGCCCCGTCATTCACACACTGCCCCACCGCACACGGATTGCGCTGGGCTGCCTTGCATGGATCCTCTGATGAGAGACGCAGTGGAGAGAGGAGAGCGGACGGGAGGGTTGAGGAGGAAAAGAAGGGGAGGGAGGGACGGAGGGAGGAGAGCTGAAGGGAGCAAAAATGAGGAATGGGGGAACAAAGTGGTTGAGAGAGCAATAAGAGGGCGTAGGCAGCCAGCAGCAGAGGCTTACTGTAGGTGCATGTGCGAGAGCCATCGGCGTTGGTTGCTTGGATGAAGCGCGGGTCGTTGCAGTCACACTCGTTTGTCTTGCCCTTCGCAATGCAGGTGAACTTGCCGCAGGGATTGAAGAGGGAACCAGTGCTATCATTGCGGGCGGCTCTGCTGCAGGGGTCAGAGGTGCCTGCAGGTAGAGAGAGGGCGAGCAGGAGAAGCAAGGCAAGTGGAGTCTGAAATTTGCATACATTTGTTATGTGTTGAATGCACGTCATTCTGAGTGTGTGTTCCTAAGTTTCTGCGAAGTGCTCACGTCACTCATGCTTGCATATTTGCATGAGCGTATGATATTATGAATGGCTGTTAGACATATTTTATTATTATTCTCCAAGTTTGCATTCTCGAACATACACGAGACATCCAGAGCTTTTCAATGAACACAGTATCGTGTTTGTCTAACCAAGAACGCCCAAGTTACAAGATTTCCAAGACTTGAAAAATCCATCTCTTTAATTCGGGTGACTACTTTGACATGACCACAGAAGGATCTTTGATTGGTTGGTTAAGAAGGGATCATTAGCTTTGGATTAGGAATATATGTTTTTTGGGATTGTCCTATTCTTCCCTAGCTGTTCAAGAACTCTTCTCTCACAAGAAATTCTTAGAAATCCTAACTCCAACACTATGTCTGAGATGTTTTTAATTCCTCCATCAATCTAGTGATTATGTAGTTGAGATGCTCTAACTCGTTCTCACTCTATAGCTACCAACCGATTTGCGTTTAGTTTAGAAATCAGATCGTTCGTAAAATCTCAAAGTGACAAATTACGTGCAACATTATAAGGCCTGAAATGGCGGTGTGAGTTGAACTGGTGTGTAAAATAATTACATGCATTTACTCACCCTTGACCATGCACCTTTCATCTTGTATTATCCTTTGTTCTCACCTCTAACCACAGGGTAAAGGCCTGGCAGCGAGTTGATGCCGCACACGCCATCCCCCCCCTGGATGTCCATGCGCATGTGGCCCCCATCGCCCCAGTCAGGCCCCCATGAGTTGCGGATGATCCAGAAGGGTGGCGCCATGTGGGGGAAGCGTGTATCCTCACCCACTAGGCGGTACCCCACCAGCAGCACCACGTGGTTCAGGTTGTACGTGAAGCAATCGGGGTCCTGGTACTTGTACAGCTGGGGGAATGGATGAATGGGTAAGGTAGGGCAAGGTAATGATTTAAATTGCGACATAAGTCGTGTGTGTGGTGTGGAAAGGGATGTTTGGACACACCACGGCCACACACTCACATACTCATGAAATGCCATTCACACAGACCAAACAATCACACACGCCCGCTTACGGGTTCAATGCAGCTTCCTGCTTATTCATTCACACCCACACGGCCTCACCCCATCACAGTTCTTGACATGTCAGCGGAAGCCTCAATGTGCACCACCACTGGCTGCCGCTGCACAGCCAGCAGCAGCCCAAACCAGCCGTAGAAGGACGTCGACTCAAAGCCCCTGATGGGGAAGCCACCAGAGAGATGCTGGGGATGGGAAGGAAGGAGTGTGGATGAGATCAAACCATGGGGTATGGAGGAGGATCAACGCACACGGAGCTCTAGCTTGGAGCTGCATGCAGGTTTACGAGCACTCGGTGTGAAAGAAACTTGAGCAGCACAAGAATTGAATGCTCGAACAATGAAGCAATATTCTGTTAGTGTCTCCGACCATCCGTGCCGTAGTAACCTAGCCCGAGTCCCACTAGCTCACTCACTCACATGTAGACTGGCCGTGCCATTGCTGCACGACACACCGAACACGTTGGCCAGTGGCTTCAGCAACGGGGAGCAGAAATGATTGCTGCTGCCTGCCTTCACAGGTTTCTTGCCCTTCTCGACCGCCCACTGGCTCTCCAACACGAGCCCGCCTCCCTTGCTTGCCAGCTTGAGCAGCAGCTGGAAGGCCTGAGAGGGCGTGCTGCCAGAGCAGCTGACCTATGGCGGCCTTCAGCTGCTCCACTGACAGCACCGGCGCCGCTGAGGTGTTGGCGAGAATGCCCAGCGCCGCCTCCACGCTGCCCACCACTGCGTACGCCCAGCAGTCGCCTGCCAGGAAATGCACGGGTTGCGTAGGTCGCATAGACGAAAAACATGGTTTGCATAGGCACAATACTATAACAATGTACCATGGAAGCCCTTACTAGCCCCAAGCCCCCCCCCTGCTAAGCATGTGGTGGTGTGCTTTCACCTAACTTGACGGGTTTGTGTGGCCTTGAGGGAATATTTGAGCTGCGCAAGTCTCACAGTTGCGACCATGCATCAATCCAATTGCACTCACTCTCTGCTGCTAACGAAGTCACCATCCATCCTGTAGGCAAGTCTCACCTCTCTTTCCTTTGCGGGGCTGCCCTTACATTAGGGTTGAGCAATGACCCCACCCGACCCGACCCAACCTGTCTGGGTCGACCCAGGGCTACCCATTGCGTAGGAGACACCATGTTCAGCAGAGGCTATGTTGCATAGGGAAACACAAACCTGCTCCATTTCGTTCAAGTGGTAGCGAGGTAGCCTCGTCTCAAACTCGACCTGAGCCTAGCCAGCTCAACACGAGCCCGGCTGACTGCAAGCTCCGGATAAGGAAGGCCTCATCCCAAAAGAATGTGAAAACCTTATTGCATAGCCTAGACATGACAAAAAAAATCCACGGTCAAACCCGCTGGCCCGACCAGCTTGGCTAGCCAGCCAGGCCACGGGGGTTCTGCTCCCCATCCGACACAGGGCAACAGGAACAGGCTTTCATCGAGGAGGTGAATGGGTGGGGGTGGAGGGGTGGAACGGAGTGGTGAGGGTGGGGGGTTGTGTGAGTGAGAGGGGGGTGGCAGCCTGTGGGTGTGCGAAGGGAGAGAAGAGGAGGGCCAAGCCATGGCCACAACAACTTGGTCCGCGCCGGGCTCGCCCAGGTTTGGTCCGTGCCTACTGCCTGCCCATGGCTATGGCCCAGTGGTGGCAGTCCAGGAGTACTCACCGCAAGCTGTCTGTGTCTTGACAGGCCATGTGAAGTTTGGACTGACCCATGACGATGCAGGGTGCACGCCATACACGTCATTGCCACCCACAGGAGCAACACTGCCGGAGCTGGCATAGCGGAAGAAGAGATTCACCCCCGACAGAGAGAGCGCCGCCTCGCTGAAGGTAAAGCCCCGCGCTGCAACTGTGATCCAGGATAGGGTGCATGGGTAGGCATGATGAGGATAAAAAAGCAACTCCATTGCTTGCCTCATACGATCAAACAGCAGCTGGTTCATGTCATACCTGGAGCTGGCTGGATAGGAAAGTCTGCGAGAACAACACACACACACACACACACACACACACACACACACACACACACACACACACACACACACATCAAAGAGATGAGTTAGGGCGGTAGTTGCTGTTCGTCAACTTTCATTCACAATGGAAGGGACAAGCGAACAACAAAGTGGGGAGCGCAAGAGACAGGATAAATGCAGAGGTGCAAAGTGGATGCAGAGCTCTCATAGGTGGAGAGGTGCACTCACAGGTGGAGAGGTGCACTCACAGGTGGAGAGGTGCACTCACAGGTGGAGAGGGTCCAGGCGGAGACGACATGGCTTTGAGGCTGGGCGGCGGAGGCAGCAGTGAAGCCGATGGCAAAGGTGTACTCCGATGGGGAGGGGGCGAGCTCCTCACACAGGGAGATGCGTGCCGACAGGAGGGGGGTGGTGGGGCGAGGGGACGCCTGGGAGGAGAGGAAGACGCGCAGGGAGCCAGTGGAGGAAGGGTCGTAGTCGATCCACACGTGCTTGGGCGTGCCGTCATTGAGAGGGGTGCTGGGCTTGGCCGTGACCACGGACGTGACATTGCCGCCGGTGTTGATGCCCACGTGGTTGCTGTCAGGGTCGCTGTTGCCCGCATCCATCGACGTGTCAAACTCCACTGCCACGCTGCGCGCTCCCATCCCCGCATACCCCATGCCGCCCGCCACCGGTGTTGTGGGCGGGGTGGCATCAAAGGCCACCACAAAGGCAAAGCCTTCGGAGCCGGAGGCAGCAGGGCGGGTGAGAGTGAAGGAGTAGGAGGAGGAGAAGGCGAGCTGGCGGCCGCAGGTGTCCCCGATGAGCTGGTAGGAGAAGAGCGGCACGCGCGCTGCCAGGAACACACTGCCAGCCTTGGACGGCTGGGCGGGCGTGAGAGTGAGCGTGGCTGTTGCAGCATTCACTGAGGCGTCGCCAGTGGCTGTGAGCGTGGCTGCTGTGGGGGTCAACTGCTGCTCCGTCTTACCACCTGAAGATGGGGTGGAGGGTATGGAGACAGTTGGAGAAGCGAGTGCAGAACGAGCTCTCCCAAAGGAGGCACACAGTCACCAGGAAGTATACATGGGCAGATGACGGGTCGAGCTTTACTCGACTTGTTTTGGCAAGGCTCGAGTTGCTCTCAAATAGAGTCGAGTGATGGTTGGTCGAGTTATATATTACTCTGGGCACGATTCATAATTTGACCAGATGCTCAGGCTTTTCTTAACACGCCGCAAGTTCAAAAAACTGGTCTCGAGTCGAGTAATCGGCTCGAGGTGCTATTTCCCCCATCCCCCAGGTTCTGGAAACCAGAGAGTCATCCCATGTCACCTAACTCAACTGTTGACTACTAATGGGACCTACGAACTCTATGCACACCGACTTATTGACACAAAGTATTCTCCACGGGGTTGATCCCAAGGGTCCTCAGGTGCCTGGTATAACTAGCCCCTATCCTAGAGTCCGTGTTTGTAGAGAGAAAACTAAGTGTGAACTCAATGGTTTGCACTAGAGTAGTCCTACACTCGATTGCGCAGCATTATGACGATTGATTGGTTCGTGTGCAGAACATTTTATACATTCGGAAACTGTTGATTCCCACTGAACGCAAGCACACTATTTATAGAGAGCCTAACGCAAATTTCTAGCAAACACGAAGCAATTGTTTAACTGCATTTGAGAGCTTCGTCTTGAAAACCGTTGCCCAACGTCCATTGATTTGGCAAGGTTCGTCTCCCCAGAAAAAAACGTATTCAGTTTGCAAGCCCTCCAAACGCCTCTACTGACTCCTTTCATGAAAGTAGATTACTCAGAAAGTCACGTGAAGAAATCCCCGTTTTTTCAAGGTTTACGGATATTTCCGTTTTGTACCTGTAATGAGTACTATTCCAATAGATGAGCAACTTTCTGACGACATAAAAGATGAGACTTGAGATTCTGTTATGTAACAAAAACCTAGAGTCAATCCCGAGCACCCTTCGAGATCGCTCGGCACCCTCGGCAACAGTAGGTGACCACACGCGTGGTGGGCCCTAAGGACCCACATGCGTGGTGGGCCCTAAGGACCCACACACGAGATTTGGACCACACGCGAGCTCCAAATTCTCGTACACTTTTACCTTGACCAGCACGAGATACCTGAGGGGCAAAATTTGGCCCTTATGAACACTCGTAACTCTTCACAGCATTCATGAAATAGAAACACTTGAACTCAAATTAACGCACTCAAGCACTCGTAAACAACTCGCGGGCATCACAAGAACTTACGAAAACCAGAATTCACACACATTTGTGACGACTCGCGAAACAGCACAGACGCACACAAAATCTCACATTCACACACAGACATTCATGAACACTCAAGAGTGCAACCTTTCACGAGAACGCACATAACTCATGAACCGTCGAGGCGATTCATGAACCGAAAACGAACAAACGCAAAGCCCAACCGCGGCAGCAACCGCATGTGGAGATCTGCAAAAGCGAATCTTCATGAAGCGGGCTCCTAGGTTCCATGATGCTTTCCCTGCGAACGGTGTGGCGGTGCGTCGCTCAATCTACAACTTGAAGCCGATGTCGAGGGAGTGACATGCTAAGCTAGCCACCATCCTGCAGTCCTTTGACTTCACTGCCTCGGATGCCCATCTTTTCATCCGCTCCCCACCTCGTTCGTTTCTTCATTTTGGTTTATGTACATGACATGATTCTTCCTGCTGATGACACAGCAACTACGGCACAGATAACGCAGTCGCTGTAGAAGCGCACAGGGTTCAAAATCTAGGCGAATTTTTCAAATTTAGGGCGAAGTTTTTGCTATCGAAGCTTTCGCCCGACAGTTTTGGTTAATTTCGCCGAGTTTCCAAATTTTGCGTTTGGTGCAAAATTTTGGCGAAATTTTCGGCGAATTTTTCAAGCCTCGCTGGTTGGAGAAGAAAGGCTAGCAAATGAGGATTAAACGGGGGTCAAATTGAGATCTAGATCTGACAAAGCCCCCCCTCAGCCCAACTTCGAAATTGGTTGGGTTGGGTTCTCTAGATCCAGAGCGGTAGTATGTGGTCAAGAGGTAAAAATTGGTTGGATTTTGGTCGCACAAATCGTGACGATTTTGTGTGGTGGGGGGTCAATCTTCGAGATCGATGAGTTAGGTTTGGTCGCGAATCTTTCAAGCTTAGTTGACAATGCACCATAGACCGTCACCTTGCAGAATCCGTCAGTACTAGTTTAGAGGACTTGATAATGCTTCTCTCATTCCCGCTACTACGCCATGGCTTCATGCCTAGATCATCCCCTCTCCTATATCCTTGCGTTTATAGTGGATACTGGAGTCGCAATCTTGTTTGGGGCCTTCCCCTACCAGTTTTTGTTTTCACTGTTTTTTGGGTCCTAACAAAATTTCGCTGAAATATTAAAAAAAAAAAAAAAAAAAAAAACGAGCGAAAATTTCGGGCGAAAATTTCGCCTAGCGAATCTTTAACCTTTGAAGCGCCTCAAGTGCAAGTACCTTGATGGCCTATCACACTACTTAGACATGGTGGTCGTGCATGACCGGGCTGCTCCCACCGTCACTCTCTCCCATACCTTTTACATCGACCAGGTCTTGGATTGATTCGAGATGGCGCAAGTTGAGCCCGCGTCCAACCCCCTCCCTTTCGGTCATCAGCTTGCCCCGCCCTCCTCTCCTTCCTTTTCGTCCCACCCGTACGTCGAGGTCATCGAATCGTTGATACACATTATGATGTGCATGCACCCACCCTGACTTTGCCTACCCTATTAACGTGCTTGCTCAGGTTGTTGTTGGCAATGCTACCACACCATCAAGCACTGGATTGAAGACATGAAGAGGGCCTTGTTTTACCTTCGAGGGGATACGGACTACGGTACATCCTTTACCTTGGTGGTTCTTCCCCCCTCTCCTCTCCGAATTCAATGACTCCTCCTAGGCGGACTCACAGCCGGACCGCCGCTCCTCGCAAAGCTATAGTTGCACGCTCGGCAGGTGCCTTCTTAGCTGGCTTCACACAATCCTCCGCTATCGCCTTCCTGCGAGGCCGATCTCTACGTCGGAACCGTGGCCATCGGGAGTCCCGCTGGTTGTGCTACATTCTCGCTAAGCTTCGCGCCTCACATCGCCGCGACACACTTTGGTGTGACAATCCCAACATGTTTCACCTCACCAAAGACCCCATCTTTCATCGGCCATTTCAAGTGCAAGTACCTTGATGGCCTATCACACTACTTAGACATGGTGGTCGTGCATGACCGGGCTGCTCCCACCGTCACTCTCTCCCATACCTTTTACATCGACCAGGTCTTGGATTGATTCGAGATGGCGCAAGTTGAGCCCGCGTCCAACCCCCTCCCTTTCGGTCATCAGCTTGCCCCGCCCTCCTCTCCTTCCTTTTCGTCCCACCCGTACGTCGAGGTCATCGAATCGTTGATACACATTATGATGTGCATGCACCCACCCTGACTTTGCCTACCCTATTAACGTGCTTGCTCAGGTTGTTGTTGGCAATGCTACCACACCATCAAGCACTGGATTGAAGACATGAAGAGGGCCTTGTTTTACCTTCGAGGGGATACGGACTACGGTACATTCTTTACCTTGGTGGTTCTTCCCCCCTCTCCTCTCCGAATTCAATGACTCCTCCTAGGCGGACTCACAGCCGGACCGCCGCTCCTCGCAAAGCTATAGTTGCACGCTCGGCAGGTGCCTTCTTAGCTGGCTTCACACAATCCTCCGCTATCGCCTTCCTGCGAGGCCGATCTCTACGTCGGAACCGTGGCCATCGGGAGTCCCGCTGGTTGTGCTACATTCTCGCTAAGCTTCGCGCCTCACATCGCCGCGACACACTTTGGTGTGACAATCCCAACATGTTTCACCTCACCAAAGACCCCATCTTTCACGGCCATTCCAAGCACATCGAGCTCCCCCATTTCTTCATCCGCGAGCTCGTTCAACAGGTTCACCTCGCGGTCGGCAAGATTGCAGCTGACGCCAGCCTTGCTGACATCCCAAAGTTTTTACTCATACCACACACACCGCTCTTCTTTCTCTACTTGCCCGTTTTACCAGGAACCCCTAATTTAGGGGTTGCGTTGATAATAGCCTTACTCTGTTACGGGGTAGTGTTGGAATACATATGTTAACATGCTTGGTTTCTTGTGACTGCACATCAAAATTGGTGTACAATCGAGTTGTTCATGTACCGAACATGTACCGCAATTTGGTGTACATTTGCATTTGGGGTGCCAATCCACCCACTTGTGGTGGAGCCCTAATTGCAAGCTCAATGGTGATTAGAGAACAGAACCACTATAATCCTTTCATTGTGATTAGTCGTTCCTGTCAACGGGAGTTGTGGTAGGCCCCGTCCTCGCTTTGGCGGAGCTGACTTTGTGGTCGGGTGTAAGGGTTGCAGCCGACCTGCAGCAGTGGGCGAGCTGGTCGACGAGGTTGGCCGACCTGCACGGGGGCCACTGCAAGGGTGTCGACTTGGTGACGCCGACTTGGGGCAGCCGACTTGGTGAGGTCAACTGACTGCTGTGCTGGTCGACCTGGAGCTGGTCGACCAGGGTTGTCGTCGACCTGGAGCTAGTCGACCAAGGGTGTGGTCGACCTGGTGTGGTCGACTGGAGGTGGTCGTCGACTTGGGAGGTCGACGGGCACGTAAGGAGCAGCTGGTCGACGTGGTTGCCCGGTCGACCAGGTTACCTGAGTGACGAGGTTCGGCGGAGGAGTGCGACGATCGCCCAGGTGATATTGGCGAGACCGACCTCGTAGCTGATCAGGTGCAGCCGTCAGCACGAAGACGATTTGGTGTGTGCGCTGTGCAAATGACGAGGCACAGCACGCCAATCATCTGCGAGCCACCTGCGAAGCGGGTGCGCTGCTGTCCTGCGGGTGCAACGCTGGCGCGTCGTCGACTTGCGATGTTGGCACGCCGTCGAACTGCAGCGTTGGCAAGCCGCGACTCTGCACTGCTGGGGCGCGGTCGACCATGCCCCGCTGGAACGTGGTCGACCGTGCTGTGCTGGCAGTCGACCGACTTGCATCCTAGCTCTGATGTAGTCATCCTTGCCAATGTTGTGACTATCATTGTTGTGAACTCTTTTCCTAGTGAAACTCTTGCCAAATTCTCCCGTGAACTACCAAGCAGTGAGAACACCAGGAAACGACTAAGGAACGCAAAGATCACTCAAGCCACGTGTCTAACCCGTAGTCTAGCTCACGTTGAAGTAGTTATCTCCGCAGGTCCATCATAATTCAAGGACCAAGGATGGTTGGCCTTACCAACCCAACCACCACTTTGCCCCTATTGTGCACCAAGTATGTCCCAGTGGGTACAGTTTCTCAGCTCTAGTGTTAGAAATTGTAGGTTCAACTCTCAGCATTTGCATTTTCCCCTCTCATTATGCTCACCATGACATATCCATACCCCACCACACTCAACCTACAGTGAAGTGTGGTAATAGTTGGCATTGCCACCTATCCACTCATTTCATGCTGACCTTGTTGGCCTCTATGGTGTGCCATATGCTGCCATGTGGGTTGTTGTTCCAGCCTGGCCCACAGGTGCAACATGAGGCCTCACATGTTAACTTGGCAAGGTTGGCTTTCAGCCATACATCTTACTTCACTAGAACTCATCCGACATTGCTCTAGTCTCTAAGGCTTGTACCATCTTCCTAATAAAAATATTTTGTCTTCTCATTGTGTCCATTTTCTACAACCCCCAATCCATTTCTTGACCCTGTGTATGCCTCTTCTTTCATGAATAGTACACCGTTCTTCTTTTCATCATTATGCTTTATGTATACCAGGAGGTATCAGCGCAGACTCGCAAGAAGGCCATATGCTGGCAGCAGCAGTGCAAGTAGAGTGAAAACAAGGCATGCCATGGGACCGGACGCACGCGTGATGCTTAGACTGTGAGTGACTCACCTGCCACAGGCACGCAGCTGCCCGGGAACTCCCCAATCACGAAGTTATCGTCACAGAGGCATGTGGGTACATTGTTGGGGCCATCCAAGTAGCACGTCCCATGGCCATTGCAGGCGGGTGAAGTGGAAGAGACACCGCAGAAGGCAGCGCACACGGGCTCAGCCTTCTGACTCTCGTCCGGACCACAGAAAAGGCCGGGAGCTGGATCGTCCGCACAGTTGCTGTGGTATGTGATGTAGCCTTGCCCGCACGGCGGAGGGGAGGAGAACCCCTGACTCAAGTAGTTGTTGTCCAGCTTGTACATCTACACATTAGCTGGCACGAGCTCGAGGACCTTCCCTGTGAGCAGATTGTCCCTCAGGTTGCTGCGGATTGTAGGATGGGCAATGGAAGGATGGGGAATGGAATGGGAGGATGGGGGATGGAAAGATGGTGGTTGGAAGAATGGGGAACGGAAGGACGGGAAATGGAAAGTTGATGGATGGAAGGATGGGAATGGACCGATGGGGAACGGAAGGATAAGTCAACCAAACGGGGAGAGCGAATGAGAAAGGGGTGAACACTCTTATCTGCATGGCTGGAGTTCTGGAGAGCAAGAAGAGAATAAAGCAATTATACTGCTGGAAGCATGACAGGACAGCGTATGGGGGGCTTACAGGACTTGTAGGTTGTTATGACCAGCAAGATCTTGTGGTATTGTTCCAGTAAGGCAGTTGGAGCTCAGGTCCCTGGATACAACAACAAAGAACGGAGGTGAAAAGAAGACTGGGGAAACGAGAGCAGGAAAGCAAGAGTGGTTCATGAAGGAATGGGAAAGATAGAGGTTTAGATGTGATGAAGGAAATGACGTGATGGGACCTAAGCGGATCATCCAGCCATGCCTTGGCTGGGCCTGCACGGCCGGTAGACAGTAAGGAAAGAGAAAGAAACAAAGCACATCACCACAGGCAGCTCCACGGAGGCGGCAAGTATGTGCCGTTGGTGACATGGATGAAATGATATGTGTGACACCTAGACTCAAACTCAACGCAATTGGTGCGGAAGGGTGGGTGGGAGGCAAGAGCGGGGCGTGTGGGAGAGAGGGAAGGAGGGGAGGGGAGGGAGAGGGGAGGTTGTTGGGGTGGACTAGGGACAAAGGACCAGAGCCTTGAAGCAGTGTGGGCCTCACAGAGCCTCACAGCAGTATGAGGTAGACCAAGCCTGTGAGATCGTTCGGTATCGTGCCAGACAGGTGGTTGCCACTGATGTCACTGGGGGAAGGGAAGAGACGAATGGCACAAACAGAGAGAGAAAATTGAATAACAGGCCAGCCGAAATCAGATTCTGGCAAGGAAGCGGCAGTGGGAAATGAAATGGAAGTGACGGGGTAGCTTGGAAGGGAAGGGGGGATCGAGGGGGGGTAAGGGGGTTTATGGGAGGGGGGAGATGAGATTTTGAAAAGGATTTAGATGGGATGCATTGTTGTGCATGGAATGGTGGTAACACGGGCAGGAGCAGGCAGCCATAGCATCCCAAACGGCGCAGCAGATAGACATGGGTGGGCAGTGCAATTTCGGGTCACGCTCATGCAGCTGCTGATGCGGTGTGGCAAGACGTGTGGTGTGCGTGGTAACCTGTATGTATGGCATGCGTCCAGTAGAGGATTTATATGAAAGCGCACACCCATAAAAGAAATGAGAGGGGTAAAAAGTAAGAAGGCAAACAGCATATAGATATCAGGTGTTGTCCACTGATTTGGAAGAGTGCCACTGAATGCGTTGTGCGCCAGATTGCTGGGAGAGAATGTGGGGCGAGAGAAGGGAAGAGAGGGGTGGGAGGGTAGGGGCAAATATATCAGCAAGGAAGCTAAAGTGAGTAAGCAAAAGACGTGAGTAAGCAACGTGCGTCCCGATGCAGCTACGACAGGGCGTGGGAAGCGAGAACGAAGCATAGAGGCCAACATATCAGAGAAGAAGTCAACCTAGGGATGGAGGGTTTTCAACTCAACAGACAGCAAGCCACGTGAAAGAAGAGTGCTTTTGAGACGTGTCAAAATATCAGAGAAAAAGTGAACCTAGGGATGGATGGGTTTCAACACACAGCGAGCAGCACTGCACGGGCTTCAAGGGCGAGTGCCGAATCAGTCAAAGTGATTGGTCAATAAGACGAGGCATGGACATACTGAGAGCATGTAGCAAGTTACCGAGGTTTCCCCTTTGAGCATGCCGATTTAGGCAGCACATGGGTGGAGTCAATCATGTAAGCACATAATGCTGTATGAACCTCCACCCGTACAAGCAGTTTCGGACGTGTCGGCTTGCCACGCACTTATGCCCATGCTCCATGTCCCATCCCATCCCATGCACCACGCCCCATGCACCACGCCCCATACACCACATCCCGTGCTTCATCCATCCGCCCCATGCCTCACAGCGTTTTAAGCGTGTTAATGGAGCCCAGGTTGGAAGGGAGGGGTCCGCTCAGGTTGTTGTTCTGCAGCTCCCTGCCGTGCCAGGCAAGGGCAAGTGCAGCATGGGCAGAAGGAGAAGAGAGGTGCAGAAGGCGAGGCGGAAAGTAGATGGAGGGATGGAAGGGACAAACCAGTTCACCTCGGCCTGAACCAAGACTTGCCTACCTGCTCATGCGTATTCCTATTCTTGAGCATATAGTTCCTGCTAAAACACTCCTCCCCAGCACCACCAACCTGTGAGGTTCATACTTCTCCCCTATGGTCCAGGAAAGGCACTCTGAGGAGAAGTAGTTTTACGACCTCTAAGAGAATTCTTCTTTGAAAATGACCGCTTACTAACCCATAAGGTATCGAACGCGTAAGTGGTCCTATCCTTACACTTAGGCGCAACTTAGGCTGGACATCAGGGTGTGGAGAAAGATCATACAGAACTGAGAAAAGGCAAACAATTTCACCTGAAAATTAAGATCAAGTTCCTCCAAGTTGAGCGAAAGATTGGCGTGAAAGTGATGCGTGCCGCTTACTCAGGTGGAATGCTTCACAGCTGCCGCTGAGTGAACTCTGACGGGTCCTGGCGCGGCTTATTCAGGTGGCTGGCACGCGTGACAGCTGAGTGAACTGTGGCGGGTCCTGGCGCCTGGTCCCATCTGTACCTACCACGAGACCTCCCAGCCCAGCCCAGCCTGGCCCAGCCCGGCCCGGGCCAACCACTAACCTGACCGGCTCTATGCTCATGTTTACAGACCGAGCTTCCCAAGGCGCTGAGTGGCATGGGGGCATGCAAGAGCATGCAGAGGCTCACAAGTACGAGAGAGTGGTCATGGTTGTTAGAGTGGTCGGCAGGGGGCCCGATATGAGGTTGTCGTTGGCACGGCTGGGGGGTTGAAGGAACGAACAGCAAGGCAGGGAGCACAGCTGGGGTTGAAAGAAAGAACACAGGGTGAGAGGAGAACGGTGATGTGTTTCTCGTATTTTTTATGCGCGGCAGCATGGGATGGTGTGCAGAAGGATCAAAAGGGGTGACAGGCACACGTGCCCCTGGACTGGAGAGGACCAGGACGGGCAGACCAGTAAGTTGGGAAGAGGCTTGTTGGGCCAAAGTGTCCAAGCAAGCGTTCACGACAAGTAAGGCCATAAAGAGGGTCATGACTTATGTGTGGAGGAGGGAGGGCAAGGAGGAGCAGGAGGCACAGAGTGAGGGCATGAGAATAAGAACTGACAAGGCTAATAGCTTGGAGACACTCCCGAGTGCATCTGGTAGAGATCCCGAAATCTGGTTGTTGTAAATCTCGCTGATGGGGGGGGTTGACTGAAATTCAGAAAAGAAGCAGCAGGTTGTTTCAGACGAGACCAGCCGATTGTCTAAGGCAGACCCAGCCAGACCAGATCGTCCCGGATAGACAGACAGACCAAATCTCGAAAGATCCTGCTTCGAGCTGTGACAAACCAGTTTGCCACGGGCCGAACCAAATCACGGACCGAAGCAAGCCCGGTTTGGAATGCCACAAGGGAGATAAGGGCCGGGTTGGCGCGCAAGCAGCCGTTCAGGGGCTGTCCCCGGAAGGGGGCAAGACGTCAGCAGCACAGCACACAGTGCCAGGGTTGACCATGCGTATGTACGACGAGCCATGCAAGTGCGTCGCACTTGTCAGCTGTGCCGCTCCCACAGTATCGCCGGTTCATGCCAAGCCAACTGCTTACAGGCCATGAAGTCGTGCCATTGGCTGTGTGCCCTGCCAAGGGCACGCATCGATGGAGCCTGTGTGTGTGCAATTGGCTGGCTGGCTGGCGCAAGCAAGCAGCAAGCAAGCAAGCAGGGAGATGGCGGTGCTGTTAGCTGGAGCCGGGCTGCCCTACCATGAGGTTAGCGCAGTGAGTTGGGTGAAGGATGCTGGGAAGGGCCCTTCCAGTTGGTTGTCCTGCAGTCGCCTGCTTCAAACAAGCAAGGTGCAACAGCAAGGAGATGTTCGGGATGAAGGGGAGCCGTTACAAGTGGGCGTTGTGGGTAGAAGAGAGGGGGGACGGGAGGCACGTACTGGAACATACTGTATGTGAATGCGTCGCGGGTTCTCCTCTGGCGTGTGTTAGCATGCTTATGAGCAGAGAAGAGAATCATCGACTAGATGAGTTGAAAAGAAGAGTTCTCCAAGAACACATGGATAGGGAGGGAGTGGCCGAGAGATTGATGGAGAGGAAATGAAATGATAGAGGGGTGGTGGGAAGGGGAGAGAATATTGTACAAGGGAAGGAAAGGGAGGCAGTCGGGGGTGGGTGCGAGGAGAGGAGGGCGTTACAGTTGTTGCAGGGCAGTGAGGGCACCGATGTGCTCAGGCAGGGGCCCACTGAGCTCATTGTGATTGGCGTTGCTGTGTGGTGGGTGGGGAAAGGCGTGCAAGGGGATGAAAGGGGATGAAAGGCACGCAAGGGGATGCAAAGGCACGCAAGGTGAATTGCATTGCATTAATGCTCCACGAGAACAGGCTGGGCCACAGCCGGCTAGAGCCAGGAGGGGCCCTTAATTGGTTATTGCCAACACATGGCCCGGCCGGCTCGTCACAAGCCTTTGCGGAATTCTCCAAATCCAACGCCGGCTGGAGTCAGGAGTAGCCCTTCAGTGGTGCTTGCTGTTGCTGACACATGGTCCTGCCGGCTCGTCACAAGGCAAGAAGAGCTTCCTGATTCACATCGTGGCCCGAGATGGTGATGGTGATGTTGATGTGACCTGCCCCGAGCCTACAGGCGCACAGAAGCATACATGTGACGATAGCCGGAGAGGCTTTTCTTGTCGACTCGATGTATCAGCCTGGGAGCTGTGTGTGTGTGTGTGTTGCTACAACATGACCATACTGGCAGAGGTAGTTGCGTGATGAAAGGGGCAACTCAACTCACAATTCCTTTAGAGAAACGAGCTTGGAGAAGGTCGATGGGAGTGAGCCCGATAGAGAGTTGGAGTCTATATAGCTGAGTGGGAAGGGATGGGGCGTGGGGAGGGAGCGGACAGCACGGGTGGCGAGGGAGAGAGTGCGAGAGAGTGAGAAAGGTGAATAGAAGAGGCGCCAAGGGACACAGGAGGGTGACGGGATGCGTGTGTGAGTGAACACTGGAGGATGAAAGGGAGGTGGGGCCGTGGGTGAAGCGGCGATGTTATGACGATTCAAGCTGCACCAAGGCAAAGAAGACTCAAGCCTTTCCAGTCTCACTGATTTTCCTTTACGTTTTCCTTCCGTCGCACACTCCAGAACAGATATGAGCAATGTGCGATCGCGCGAATAATACCCCCAACCCAACCCCCTCCTCCCCCCACCCCTGTGTGTGACCGAAACTTACAACATACTAAACGGCTGTCTGACATGCTATCGTTTTATCAGCCAGAATCGTTCGTAACTGCCATAAACAGTCCTCATGCCACCACCCTCTTCTCGCTATCAACTCCCCACTCCGTTCACATCATTCGCATCCTTTGCCTTGCCTTGACTTCATCTAGACCTGCCTCGACTCCCTGAGTCTCTGTCACGCACGCCCACACCAGGTTGAGCCATCTCAGTGGACGCGAAAGACATTCAACTCGGAGTCGCATTGCTCCTGCTGCTTGCCTCGGGCGTGGTCGTAAGACACAGTTGAGCTAGCGTGGCTCGTGACAAGTCTGCCCGCATGAGATAGCATGTAAAGCTCGCACGCGAAGCCTGGTTCGTGAGCGTGGCGGCTTAAGATAGACGGCATCAGAAAGGGCATGGTCTGTCTGAAACCCGTTGTCGCAAGATTTGGCTTAAGAGCCAGACATATAACATAGGACCACAAATACATGGGTGTTTGGTCTAGTGGCATGATTCCTGTTTAGGGTGCGAGAGGTCCCGAGTTCAATTCTCGGAACACCCCGTTTTGTTATTTTGGGCTGGGACAAGATCATCGCTCGCCTGTCTTGCTGCTCGCTTAGAAAAAGCATCACACTCACCACCTACTATCCAGGAGCAAAAACATTTCTTTTCTAGTTCACACATTAAACTCCCTTAGAAAAAGCATCACACTCTCCTTTCCATTGCATCAGCTCAACGGAAGAAAAAAAAGAAAAAAGCACGGCTCAAGATTAACGTGTACCTTAGTCGTCTGTTTCGGCCACGCTGTAATATAGCAAAAACGGCTTCATAACAAGAACTCCCTTCAAACTATCCCTTCCTTCCCCCTTCTTTTCGTCTCTCCTACTTGCTTAAAACTCACCACAAGACCCTTTCATACCGCCGGCCCTCTTGAATTATCACCCCTTTCACTAGAAACACTACTGTAACCTAGCCGACGGAAAAATACAGAAAACAAATTAGTTGCCTGCCTACAGTCACCTCTGACTAGAGTACGGGTGCCAAACGTCCGATTCACACACGAGAATTATGACCATCGACTCAGATCAAATCGCCTCAAACCTACACAGTTGCCCACTTGAGACCTACCCACTCTAACCATTCGACTCAACTGCTGCTCACGTCAAAGAGAGGGGCAGGAGGTGAGACGTAGGGACATAAAGAAAGGGTTAAGGAGTTCGTACAAGTATTGAAGATTGACGAAGACACCAATGGTGCCGGGAAGCGAGCCTGTAAGTCTTCTGTTAGTTAAGTCTCTGATCAAATCAAACGGGCATCCACCACACAGTGCAATGCAGGCACAAATAGGGGAAGGTCCGCGGGTGAGGCTGCAGGATAGGAGGTGCTGAATGACTGAAACGGGCCGGCATACCAACGAGTAGCCATCATTTATGCATGCAATGCAACTCATGCCTGTGCGCCGTTCCAGTTCATACAATCTGGAACGAGCGCCTCATGCCAATAGCGCCTCCTGCCAAGAGCTGTCGTGTCAACAATGCTCCGCACTCACAGTTGTGTCACGAAGCCAGCAGCGTTGCAGTGGACGTTATTGTAATTGCTGCAGTCAGCGTCCTCCACCCACGTGTCGGTAATGCTCGGAATTATACTGCTCCACTGCGCCTTCATGTCTCGCAGCCCTGGCCCTGTGTGGCGCAGCAATGGGGCCGGCAAAGGCAGGGGCAGTGAGATGTGAGGGACAAGGGACGCTTGTGGTGAGATTCCAGCACATGGGGGGGAAAGAGGGTGCACTGCAGCCCACACAGTTACACACACACACACACACACACTCACACACACACACACACACTCACATACACACACTCACACACACACACTTACGCACGCACACGCACACACACACACACACACACACACACACACACACACACACACACGTGCCCGCACCCTCCCACACTCCCGCAACCACACGCTCACACTGGGTGGGGTCAAGGGGAACAGCGTGCGCCATCATGATGGGGAGGAAGCCACGGCTGCAGCCGCTGCTGCGCCAGAAGCAGCGCTGCGCCCAACCGCCCTTCGTGAGGCCCTCGTCGCTCCCCACCATCGCCATCACCGCCACCACGCCCATCACAGCCACCCTCTCAACCAACCCCCTGCCATCGCTCCTCGCCATCACTCGCCGCCTCCCTCTCGCCTCCCCAACCCCTCCCGCCGCTTTCAACGGCCTCCTCGCCCTCGCGCTCGCGCTGGTGGCGGCGGCAGCACTGACGGCGCGGGCGAAGGGTGCGGTGGGGCCTTCGCTGGGAGAGCCTGCGACAGCGAGGGGCAAGGAGAAAGATGCGAGGAGCGAGTCAAGATGGAGCGCCGCCGCACCATTGTGCTGCACGGCCGTGAGCGGCGGGCTTGACGCCGCGCGCACCCGCCAACTCAGCAGGGACGATGGGATCATGGGAGGTACTGGTAGTCGCGCCGCGCCGCGACACCTCTCCGCCAATCGCGACGCCGCATATCGGATCCAATCTCCGAACCGCCTCTCCCTTCGCGGCGCTACGTTCTCCTGAGAAGCCTGCGTTTTTCAACCCCGGCTCGGCTCCCTCGTTTCGCGATCCGTCGTACGCATCGAGTCCCTGTGCGACTTCATCCGCCGTCATTCGCGCGCTTGCCGCCCAGTCGCTCAGCACCTGTTCAAACCGCGACCGCGACGAACGCAGTCGCAGTGACGTCGTCGCAGGCGTCGCCGGAGGCGTCGCACGCGACTGCGACGCTCCGACTTCGCGAACTTTCGCGTTCGCGAAAGGCGAGACATCCCTCGACTTGCCGCTCTCCGAGGTTACCAGGGTGCAACCCTGGGGCTCTCCAGTTAACCCTCCTCTCGCGTTCATCGTCCCAGGAATATCCACTTGTGCTTTCTCCTTCCTCTCGTCTTCCTCCCCCATGTCACCCAGCGAGGAAACCACCTCGTCAAGCCTAAAACCCTCCCCTTCGTCCTCACCTCGCTCCTCTCCCCTTTCTTCCTCTTCCCCCTCCTCCCCCTCCTCGTCGTCGCCTTCGTCGACCAGCCCTGCCTGCGGTCGCCCGCAGCAGAGCGCCTGCCCGTGAAGCTGCAGCACGACCAGATTAGCGTCGCCCAAGAATCGCATCATGTGCTGCCGCCGGAAAGACGCTAGCGCCTTGCGCTCCCCCGACGCCCCTTGCGACCCCCCGCGCGCGGACCCCAGGGTGCGCAGGTCTACCAGTCCGCCTAGACACGCCCCGCTGGCGGAAGCGCCCCTCGCGCTTGCTCGTTTGCTTGCGCCTTTCGCAACAGCGTCACTTCCTTTCCCGCGCACCGCCGAAGTTTCCAAGAACGGCGCGGCAGCCCCGGCGGTGCCTGACGCGTGGGGCACATCGCGCTCGCCGGTTGTAAGTTCACCAGCGGGCCTGGCGGGCTTGGAGCGATCGAAACTGCTGGGATTGGGATGGACTCTCGGGCGATGGTCCTGCTGGCTCCGCGCAACTGGCCCTCCGCTGCAGGCCTCCTCGCGCTCCCCGCGACGGCCGCGCGCGACGGTTTCACCGGCTGGTCTCGCCGGCTCGCGCACGCGGCTCTTTCTGGGCTGCACATCTGGCGCGCCGCTGTGCGCACTGGGTCGAAACCAGCGAGGCCCGGTGGCCCACATGACGAGTCTGAAGCTTCCTCAAACAGGGAAGGGAAAAATGACCGCAAACAGAGATATCGATGAATTGGCTGGTAAACAGAATAGTTGAAAGAAGCCTCCAATCGTGCTGGCGATAGTGTGTGGGGTTGTGCTAATTGGCCTGAACAGAGGCGGTTTTGATTTGATGGGACTGCTCGGGAGGGACTTGTGCTTGCAGTGTACAAACAGCAAGGCGTAAATGTCGAGATCAGCTTGGCTGACAGCTTGGATCTTCACGCGGCAGTTTCTTGTTGCCTGCCCATCGACTCTCTTCGACATGGAAAGATGTGTTCTACACTCCAGCTGGTACGCCGCCGCGTGTACTGTTACTCGGCTAAGGCACGGCGATTTCTTCAAAATCAGCCACGGAAGTTCTGGCAGGGCACGTCGTGGCTTGGCGGCTATTGGAAGAGCGATCTGCGGCATCTGCGTGTGCTGTCAAGATTTGCTGTTTGCCACGAAAGGAGAAGGAATTGGAGCCGTCCGATACTACCATGCCCAATAATCGTCCCCACGATTGGAATCAAAAACTCCTCGCCGCTTGGGTCCCGCGCCGCCGTACACAGATCAGCGCGCGGTCAGGAGGAGCCACTGCGCCACAGACCCCGCCCAAACCCTGGTTCGGCTGGGAAGTGCGCAAAAAGCATCCCATCCACTGCAAAAAAAGCAGCCACGTCCATCCGGACGATTGCGCTGCGCCACACGCCTCTGGAGCAAGGGAGGAACTGGATGAGGCCGCAGCGCCACAACGAATAGCGTCCAAGAAGCAGCCAAGTAGGCGAATCCAAGTCAGCGACTGATTTGTACGGTTACGATCAACTCTCTTGGCCCGAAACAGCGTATCCTTCGTTAGAAGATACTGGACCTGTAGCTTAATATCGATTATTAGAGAATAATAAGTCCCATTTGCAACAAAGAGCCAAACTTAAAATAAATGGAATGGAAATCAGGGGATAGCGTTTATAGGTTTGCATTGAGCGTCCAAATGTGAGATTAAATATATTTCATTCCTTGGCAAATGACACAGTTTCATGTCAATCCGTATTGTGATGCATGCTTGTTGGAGATATACCGTAAGCATTAAATTCAGAGTTTCTTACCAAGGAAAAACCTTAGTGCATTTTGTTGAAGTACCCAAGGAACCTATTGGATCGGACGAGGTGCCAAGAAGATAAGGCATCAGATTGGATAATTCATACATGTTACGATAAGGAAATTGAGACTACAATACCGTCATCCCCCAGATGTAAGCGCAGGCCTCGGTTAAGCGCCCGGCGCTTGTAAAGAGCATACGGTACGAGGCATATATCCGGTCCTCGATTATAAGTGCCATGGATACTTTTGAGCTCACGGGTTATAACCGCATACATGTAGGTTACATAATATAAGCGCCACCCTTTTCGTTTCTGTTTTTTATTTATTTATCAAGGTTTTAATCTACTTACAAACAAATAAGTTCACTAAAACAATGTGATACAATTTCTACCGTACATCTCCTACTGTACCTATATCTACTCTAGTCATCAGCTGCGGTGGGGTCATCTCGGTCGGCCTCAAAGTCCGACTCAGACTCTTCTACATTGTTGCAGCAGAACCCATCTACTGCAATGTCATCATCCATCTCGACTTCGCAATCGAGCTTGTCCCGCTTGTGTTGCAGGCAGAGCTTGTCCTAGGACCCTCCAGGGTGTTGCTGATGCCGTAGGTGAGAAACGTCCGTCGAATAAGTTATTTGGGCACGGACTTCCAAGCCGAGGAGATCCACTGGAGCGTCAGCTCGAGTGGTGGCTTCTTTATATTGCCTGCCATGAAAAACACGACAACCAGAGTCAGGTGGGTTCATACCGTAAAACCGGTAAACAAACAAACAGATGGGTGGGCGGCCTGTCTCACCTTTCACAGGTGTCAACTCCCTCGCTCTCAAACCACTCCTGGTAGAGCTGGCGAACGGCGGCCTTGAAGAAGCGACTCACCGCGACATCGAAGGGTTGAATCTCCGAGGTGGGATGGCGGCGGGGACGATGTTCAACTCGCCGAACTTCTGCTTCACCTCCGCAGTCAGGTGCCCGCGGTACGAGTCCAGGACGAGCATCGCTTTGCGGGGGCAGACACCGAACTTCGGGTTGACGTACGGCTTGACCGTCCCGTCTAGCCATGCGATGACACCCTCCATGCCCATCCAACTGTTGGGATGCGCGGACACGACGACATCTGCACATCAGGATACAGACGCTGTATATTAGTATAAAAACACAAGACATAAACATGCAGTCGTTATACTCTAGGGTAGTGAAGCTTACCTGACAGAAAATTCCCTTTCAGGACGGCCTTATTTTTTAAGAAGACCCACAGCTTCAGCTTCTCACACGTGGCGATGCAGGCAAGCATCACCGTCACTCGTTCCTTCTGATAGCCGCTGCTGCGGATGGGCACAGAGCGTGAGCCCACCTCCTCGAAGGTGCGTTCGGCAGGCATCTCGAGCCAGAGTGGCGATGTGGCAACGGATTCGCGGATTCGTCCAACGGGCAATCAGCCGGGGTTCCCCAGCGTGGCGAGGGTGCGGAGGCAGATGCTTCGGCGCCACTGCGGTCGGGCTCAGACAGGTAAGTGTTGAACGCCGAGTAGCCAGGAGGGAGGAGAAGCTGCAGAACCCCTGACGTGGAACACCGATGACAGGCGGCTCAAGAGGGGACGGATGAACAGGAGGAACCGGAGGCGCCGGGGGAGTGGGAGGGTTAGGAGGCGTTGGAGGAGTGGGAGGAACGGGAGGGAAGACTGGGTGTGTTGGAGGGACGGGCGCAGGGCGGCTCTGCCATTGCGAGTAGTCACGGTTCTCTCTATTTTTAACTAGGAGCAGGTTCGCGGTGGAACAGAAAATGCGTGCCTGGAAGGCCTGCCATGGCCACGGCAGGCCAAACGAACGAGCAAAAGTGAGGAGAAAGTTGAGAATGAGGGCCGTATGAAGCCCTCGCCCGAGACCCCTCCAGTTTCGCGGCCCGGCCTCCTCTGCGAGGAAGGGGTGGCCACAGTCAAGATTCCCCGCAGAGGAGCTGAGCTGGTCAGCTCGTTGCCTCGGTGGCGAGGAATCTTGCTCTGGATGGGCACGTCGTGGCTAAACCATGACGTGCCCTGGACCGCATGCAACCCTGATTGGGTAGTCGTGTTGCGAAGTGCGTGTGCGCTGGCATGGGTCAGGTTCACGTTCGATGGACCTGGCCTGACCAACAAGGCATGGAAGGCGTGAAGCCACGCCTTGTTTACCTTTTTACGCTGAAAACATGCGCAGTTTCAAACATTCTCGACTCAAGTGAATCCGCCTTTAACAATGCTTTGATTTTATATTAGAAAAAAAATCATTATTGGCATAACGTTAACGCCGACGCTAAATTTACTCAATTATAAGCCCACCCCCCTAAAAAATCATGTTTTCTTATACCCCCCCATGGGGGCTTATCCGGGGGCTGACGGTATGATGGAAGCGGCGAGAGGGTGGTGCGGTAATGAAAGAAGCATTACTGAGACGCGCCAGAGTCAAGAGAGTGACAGGTTAGCGGTGGACACACCTGGGCAAGCAACAGTAGAAGATCCTACACTAGAGGCAGCTAAAGTTTATCTAGACACAGACGAGTAATAAGATATAGCAACACTTTTGTCAACAACTTATAGAGCAGAATGCATGTCAAACATGTCCATACTAAACACTGACAAACTACCGTTCGACAGCGTAGGCCAGTGTGGAGGGGAAGCCAGAGGCCCAAACGGGCGTGGTAGAGGTCGCCGAGGTTGCGGAAGCAGTGCGCGTCGGAGTGATTGAGACGCCCGTAGGCAGTGCCAGCACCCGGATCAACAAAACCTGCTAATGGCAGGGCTCGGTAGGGGGACGACCCGGCACCCAGCTGTCGGCCCCACCAACGCAGCTTGCAGTCCCCGAGCCACCAGGTCCACTACTGCTGCAAGGCCCACTGCTAAATCTGCTGCTATTACAGCTGCTGCTAGAGCCGCAACGGCTGCTGCTACTGGTGTTGCTTAGTCACTGCCACAACCCCAGGACCAGCACCCCCTTCCTGAGCCGCACCTCCAGGACCAGCACCTCCTCCGGCTACACCTCCAGGATCAGCCCTCCCAGCGCTAGCACCTCCACCCCCTCCACTTCAAGGACCACATATGCGACGTCGCTGCCCACCAAAGGTGGCCACTGGTGTGGCCTCCGCCGTAGTAGCAGGCTCAACAACAACAGCAGAGGCTTTGGGGGTAGAGAGTAGGGTCGGGGCACACCCCTCAAAGATGGGTGGAACCACTTTAACACTGGAGGAGGCTATGGCGCGAAGGCCAGTCTCGATCTCAGTTATTCATGCCTCAAAAAGATCGACAGCGAGGCTCGTGAGGTGCATAGCGGGGAAAGCATCGTAAGCATGCGCGAGTCAGTCGGGGAGGTGGGTCGCGAGGAGGTTCTGGGTAAGATGCATGGGAGAGGGGTGCGCATCAAGGACCTCATTAATGCAAGCTGCACGGTAGCTAGCGTTTAGCAAGCGCATCCGTGTAACAAGGTTAGCGACAGCGGCATACACAAGGAGATGGAACGGCAGGACGAGGTGGCCTAAAGTAGTAGAGGAGGGAGTGGAGTAGCGAGCTACAACATCGTCAAAGCACTCATTCCCCATTCCCACTTAGGAAAGTGTTCGTGCTCAGCCTGGCGGGAGGAGGCGACCGACAGCAAGGCGCGCAGAAGCGTCACGCACCTCCCAGAGTGTGCTCTCGAGCCGGGCCGCATAGTATTTCTCCTTCTGCGCCGGCGTGGCGTTAGTAGCAAGATAAGAAGGACGTGAGAGGGCTGGAATCTCACCCAAAACATGGTGGCCGTACAGTGGGATGTCATTCTGAAGCTAGCTCCGCAAGTAGAGCTTAACGTCAAGCAGCCACACGGAATAATCGACCGCACGTTCCCCAGCATCAAAACACTGGACGTAGTCTGTTGCGGTAGCGCCAAGGAGCAGGGGCACGACTACAGCAGGCGAGGGGAAGCAACCACATGAAGAGGAAGAAGCAGGTAACGGGAAACCCTATACTGCAAGTGCAGGCATGGTGGATGGTGCTACTACGAGTACACGACAGGTGCAGTGGTAGGGCGCGCATTCGTTCACAGTATGGCATGGTTGCGCAGGCTGTAGGCGGACACCAGGCACGAGCGGCAACCGCATTGGCGCATATAGAGATGGTCTCGCAAGCGGGTTGCGCAGCTGCGCGGGGTGGCGCGCCGGCGGCACAACAATGCGGGCTAACGGGCGACTGGCGCAAACGGCATGCGCCTGGCGCGCCTAGTGCAGGGTGGCGCGAGCGGCGCGCTGGCTGGCGTGACTAGCGTAGGCTGGCACGGCGGCTAGCGCAGCTGGCTAGTGCGCAGCTGACACAACTGGTGCGGCTAGCTGGCGCGCTCGCTGGCGCGGCTCCCTGACGCAACTGGCTGGCTTACGCACTAGGGGTGCTCTAGGGAGCGCGCTAAGGAACACTCTAGAGGGGGCAATCTAAGGGCGGGGCGTAACTACGGTTAGCTAGGGTAGGCGAGGTGGAAGCGATAACCCAACCTGATCTGATGGTATGTCAATGAAAGAAGGATTGACCAGAATGAGGGCATACATATTAGATACGTACCAAACATGCACCCTCTATAGAGTAACCCAACCAAACTTACACATGCATAAATGTATGAGTAGATTGACATCACATGCGTCTATGTTAAGCATTCTGTTTGATTCGAGGTGTCGCAACTCACCTGTGAGTCACAAACAATTGTGTTAGACACACGTGTGTCACAATCCGTGCAAGGTGAATGTTTGTCGCAACTTTGAAACTTCACCCTTGAAAACTTTCAAAAATACCGTAAAAACAATCATTTTTCATGTGAAATTTTCCTTTGATGCACAAAAGGGTTGAAACCAGACCCTCAGATTGGTTTCAGGGCACACTGATCAGCCAGTGCTGCACCTAAAAAAAAAACAAATTTACACTGATCAATCAGTGCTACCTGAAACATCTACCCTGATTTTTCAGTGCTCTGCTGGTGGTAGGCTTACTGATTTGTCAGCCCAGGATTTACGAGCCATTTTATCGTATATGTTAAGTACCAGCGTACACACCCACATATGTTCTTGCTGCGCACTAGGGCGGATTCATAACTTCGTGCCATCCGCTATCTGTGTCATCCAAAATTGTAGGATCCAATCAGAAGTTTTCCGATTCGAGCTTCGGGTTTTCGATTGGATCCCACAATTTCGAATGACACAAATAGCGGATGCCACGAAGTTAGGAATCCGCCCTTAGTGCAGGCAGGTGTCCCCTGTATTGTCAGAGTGTTGAGAGCACCTGGAGAAGCGCTCTCTCATTGAGTGGCTTCTGCACGGCGCCATCCATGCCAGCCTCTGTGGCACGAGCAGCAACAGCGTTGTCCACGTCTGCTGACATGGCCACCACACAAATACGCTGCTGCCGCTGCCATCCCCCCTCCACACCCTCCACCCCACTCTTCCCCACCGCTGGCACGTCTCCTCCCCACCCCTGCCCTTCCTGCGCATCCCCTGCGCCCTGTCCCCCTTGCACCCCCCACTGGGTGGTATGCGCTTTGGCCTCGAGGGCGCGCAAGCGGGCGGCGGTTTGGAAGCCGTCGAGGCCGGGCATGAGGAGGTCCATGAGCACGAGGCGGAAGGAGTGGCGCGCCTGCAGCAGGCGCAGCGCCGCCTCACCCGACTCTGCCAGCGCCACCTCCGCCCCGTATCGCGCCAGCGTGCTCGCTGCCACCCGCCAGTTGATAAGATTGTCGTCCACCACCTGGTGGATGGAGAGAGCGAAAGTCGAGTTCTGAGTCGACTCAAAACCGCCGACCCGTACCGTGCCAGCGTGCTCGCTGCCACTGTCGTTCATTAGATTGTCGTCCACGACCTGGTGGATGGAGTGAGCGAAAGTTGACCGAGGGGAACCAGAGACAGCGCATGACAGAGAGGAGAGGAGGGTTTTCCGACACATGCGAACGGACGGTGACATTGTCGTCCGGTCCGCCACGTGTTGCGCTAGGCACGGGAGAGCGAGCGGGGTACAGGGGGAACAGGGGGAGAAGGCTGAGGGGATGAGAACGGATGGATGGAGACAGCATGTGGTTATTGTAACAACATGAGATAGAATGGATGCATTCGGTAATGAGCTCAAGGCTCTTACATACGTTTGAAATGGCTAAAATATGAATGGGTAGGGAATCAGGGGCAATTCCCAAGAGATCGGTTGAAATTTCCAATTGGCGGGCTGGAGATTTCGGTTGATGACGTTTGGGTGAGGTTGGGATGTTGGTGTAACACCCAACCCACACAAACTACACACATGGGTGGAACAGGAGAGGGGGAACAGGAGAGGGGGAACAGGAGAGGGGGAACAGGAGAGGGGGTGGTACACAAATGGGTGGTTAAGGAGGAATAGGAAGATAAGGGCACAGAGGTTGCCTCGAGGCATGTGATGGAGGAAGGAGAACGGAGGCATTGTGAGAGGTGCGACGAGGCATATCACATTGCTGTCCACCTACAGGACAAAGAGAGGCCGGGCTGCCAGAGTGGGTTGGGGGAGCGTGGTGAAGTGAGTCCCGGGTGGGTTGTGGGAGTGTGGTGAGGAGTGGCAAACAGGAGAAAGCGGAAGCGTTCTGAGGCTAGTCTGCATGCACTAGTTGATGGGGAATCAACGTTCAGCAGCCTTCCCCACAAACACACGAGATTCCTTCAAGTCTAGATTGGGTTTTCTCGAAAGACACTGTCGGGTCCGGTGTGCATCTCACCAGAATCGCCTTGCCCTGCAGCAACTCCTTCAGCCTCTCCCTCGCACTCTTCGCCTCCACTGCCCGTGGCACAGCTGCTGTGTCATCCCCTGCAGCAGCAGCAGCAGCAGCGGACGAAGGCACACAAGTCGACGCTGGCCCAGAAACATCCACGCTGGCTGCAGTCGAGTTTCCATACACAGCCACAGCGGCAGTGGCAGCAGCAACAGGCATGGGCAGAGCGACGTGCAGGGTGGTGCCATGGCCCTCTGTGCTGAGCAGCCCAATGCTGCCGCCCATGAGCGACACCTGCCATGCGGGGGAGGTGTTGGAGGTTGGGCGCAGCGCTACAACCGATGACTAAATGTGGACATATGTGGTTCAATGTGGATACATGCGGATAAATGTGGATAAATGTGGATACATGCGGATACATGCGGATACATGTGGATACATGCGGATACATGCGGATACATGCGCATACATGTGGATACATGCGCATACATGAGGATGCATGTGGATATATGCGGATGAAGGTGGCACCCCAGGGAGGTGTGGGGCGCAGAGCTACAGGCGAAGAATGAATGTGGATACATGCGTATGAAGGTAAGGTGGCACCCCAGGGAGGTGTTGGGGGTGGACGTTGGAGGTAGAAGAGAGTTGGACGCAAAGAACACACCACACCACGTTGTATCATTTGAAGAGCATGCATGAATCGACGACAGATAGTTGTGGAGGTCTGCTGTTGCACCTGGTTAGGCTAAGACATGACAACTGTTGAGAACGACTCACCTGTCCGAAACGACTCACCTGTCCGAAACGACTCACCTGTCCGAAACGACTCACCTGTCCGAAACGACTCACCTGTCCGAAACGACTCACCTGTCCGAAACGACTCACCTGTCCGAAACGACTCACCTGTCCGAAACGACTCACCTGTCCGAAACGACTCACCTGTCCGAAACGACTCACCTGTCCGAAACGACTCACCTGTCCGAAACGACTCACCTGTCCGAAACGACTCACCTGTCCGAAACGACTCACCTGTCCGAAACGACTCACCTGTCCGAAACGACTCACCTGTCCGAAACGACTCACCTGTCCGAAACGACTCACCTGTCCGAAACGACTCACCTGTCCGAAACGACTCACCTGTCCGAAACGACTCACCTGTCCGAAACGACTCACCTGTCCGAAACGACTCACCTGTCCGAAACGACTCACCTGTCCGAAACGACTCACCTGTCCGAAACGACTCACCTGTCCGAAACGACTCACCTGTCCGAAACGACTCACCTGTCCGAAACGACTCACCTGTCCGAAACGACTCACCTGTCCGAAACGACTCACCTGTCCGAAACGACTCACCCTGTCCGAAACGACTCACCTGTCCGAAACGACTCACCTGTCCGAAACGACTCACCTGTCCGAAACGACTCACCTGTCCGAAACGACTCACCTGTCCGAAACGACTCACCTGTCCGAAACGACTCACCTGTCCGAAACGACTCACCTGTCCGAAACGACTCACCTGTCCGAAACGACTCACCTGTCCGAAACGACTCACCTGTCCGAAACGACTCACCTGTCCGAAACGACTCACCTGTCCGAAACGACTCACCTGTCCGAAACGACTCACCTGTCCGAAACGACTCACCTGTCCGAAACGACTCACCTGTCCGAAACGACTCACCTGTCCGAAACGACTCACCTGTCCGAAACGACTCACCTGTCCGAAACGACTCACCTGTCCGAAACGACTCACCTGTCCGAAACGACTCACCTGTCCGAAACGACTCACCTGTCCGAAACGACTCACCTGTCCGAAACGACTCACCTGTCCGAAACGACTCACCTGTCCGAAACGACTCACCTGTCCGAAACGACTCACCTGTCCGAAACGACTCACCTGTCCGAAACGACTCACCTGTTCGAAACGACTCACCTGTCCGAAACGACTCACCTGTCCGAAACGACTCACCTGTCCGAAACGACTCACCTGTCCGAAACGACTCACCTGTCCGAAACGACTCACCTGTCCGAAACGACTCACCTGTCCGAAACGACTCACCTGTCCGAAACGACTCACCTGTCCGAAACGACTCACCTGTCCGAAACGACTCACCTGTCCGAAACGACTCACCTGTCCGAAACGACTCACCTGTCCGAAACGACTCACCTGTCCGAAACGACTCACCTGTCCGAAACGACTCACCTGTCCGAAACGACTCACCTGTCCGAAACGACTCACCTGTCCGAAACGACTCACCTGTCCGAAACGACTCACCTGTCCGAAACGACTCACCTGTCCGAAACGACTCACCTGTCCGAAACGACTCACCTGTCCGAAACGACTCACCTGTCCGAAACGACTCACCTGTCCGAAACGACTCACCTGTCCGAAACGACTCACCTGTCCGAAACGACTCACCAGTTGCCGACACAAGTGCAGGCTCATGCCACTGCCTCCATGCGCGCGGGTCTGATGGGCGGTGGGGGGTGGGGGGAGGGGGGTGAGAAGCACGAGAACGCTAAGGCCAGGGTGTTTACGAACTAGCACGTGGAGAGAGGTCATGTTAAGCTGATGAGCGTGAGCCTCGTCATTGGTGTGGCCAAAATGGAAAACAGACGCTGCTTCTGCACTGAGTTTCAATCATCATCGCTTGCATGAGGTGCATGGCATGAGGGGCATGGCATGAGGGGCATGGCATGAGGGGCATGGCATGAGGGGCATGGCATGAGGGGCATGGCATGAGGGGCATGGCATGAGGGGCATGGCATGAGGGGCATGGCATGAGGGGCATGGCATGAGGGGCATGGCATGAGGGGCATGGCATGAGGGGCATGGCATGAGGGGCATGGCATGAGGGGCATGGCATGAGGGGCATGGCTCACCTGCATGAATGCCTGAAACACGTGGCGCTGCTCCTCCTCTGAGATGCCACACCCCGTGTCCTCACATGTCAGCAGCACCACACACCGCCTATCACCCCCCGCCTCCACCACCATGCCCTCCTCTCTGCCTCGCCCACGCCACCACCTCCCCACTGCTCCCCTCCACCAGCCCATCCCGCCACCCCCTGCTGCTGCTGCTGCTGCTGATGCTGCTCTAAACCTCCCTGCTTCACTTACACCATCCGCACTAGGCGCTCTTGTCCCATGCACACAAGTGCATGGTCCCACTCCCCCACGCCCACCCTCCTCCTCATCTCCTGGACCCCACGGCGTACCACGGCCTAGTTCCCGCCTGCGAACCCTCTCGTCTCCGTTTCCGCCTCCTATCGCCACCGACCGTTCTCCACCGTTCTCCACCCCGTGCTGGCGAGGCATCACCCTGTGAGGTGCTCCTCTTAGAGTACACCCCGCATCGCCCACTTCAGATCTTCCAGGTCTCACATCCACCCCATTTCCCCAACTCTCCTCATATCCATCACTTTGTTCCTGAGTGCTTATCCTCAGCGTGTTACCTCCTTCCCTCTCCTGCCCCTCCTCGCACTCCTCCCCTTCCTCGTCCTTCCCCCTCTCCTCAATCGCGTTCACCCCACCTCCCCCACTCTCCTCATATGCATCCCTTCGTTCCCCGGCGCTTACCCTCATCCGGTCCTCTTTCCTGTCCTCTCCCTCCTCCCCCTCCTCCCACTCCCCTCCTTCCCGTCTCTCCTCGCTCTCCCCCTGCTCCTGGCCCCCCTCCTGAACCAGGGGCATGCGCCAGCAGCACCCAAGGCACTGAGCAGACAAGCCTCTCTGGAGCACCGGCTCACTGCATGCGCCCATTATTGCCCGCGCTAGCCCTCGCTGCCCCACCTGCTCCCACAACAGCACTCTCAGCGGTGGCTCTCCCACTCCGTTCCGATGCACAGCCGCACTGGCAGCACCAGCAGAGGCAGCAGCAGCAGTGGTGGCAGCAGCGGTGGCATCAGCAGCGGTGGTAGCAGCAGCCGCAGGAGAGGAGCAGGCGGGGGTGGGTGCAGCGAGGAGACAGCCGAGGGAGAGCAGATGGGTGGGGATGTGGGTGTCGGGGGGAAGGCACTGCAGCCTCACGCACACACCGCCACTGCTCGTGAACTTGATGGCGTTCTCTGGGGGAGAGCAATGAGCAATGAGCAATGTGAGCATCAACACAAGCGAAAAATGAGCCCATTTTGTCAACTCACAGAGGCGAATTCAGAGAGCAGGTTTGGATCAAAGGGCAGAAAAAGTGCTCAGCTCAGGATCGTGTTCGTCCCGGCTCTTGAGGCGCCTCAAAAGAGGGCTCTTGACAGGGTCGCCAAGCCAACAACGAACGAGACTCGAGCGTTCAGCTGCTTGCTCGGCCCGTCAGCCCGGCAACTCATCAGCCCGGCAACTCATCAGCCCGCTGGCTCGTCGTGCTTCGAATCAAGCTGGCCCGTTAGCCTTGACCACTGCTCATGCCTTGTGCGTGAGTAAGTGACGTTAGACTGACAAGTTTGTGAACTGAACTAGAATAGGCTGTACAGGTTTCGCACCCAGGTGTTCCAGTCCAGCCTCCTGCAGCTAAGGATACCCCATAGGCTAGCCAAATCAGCCCCGTCTGGTTCTTTGGCTTGGGTAGAGGGGAGTTGGACTCGAGTCGACTCGACATAAGTGTACCGTGCGTGGGCGGCTTCACATAAGATCGGACAGCCTTGACTCTAGTGGAGCCGATGTGGAGCGGTCGATTCTAGTGATGCGATGTGTTGCGTTGCGTTGCAACTCAGTTGAATCAACCCATTCGCGAGTGGAAGCTGCAATTGCGAGTCGGGAACCCCACTCTCGGCTCAACTTTGCCCGACTCCACTCCAGGCGGGCTTGACTCAACTCGCCTCATCCTCACGTGTGACTCGCCTCATCCCCATGTGTGACTCGCCTCATCCCCATGTGTGACTCGCCTCATCCCCATGTGTGACTCGCCTCATCCCCATGTGTGACTCGCCTCATCCCCATGTGTGACTCGCCTCATCCCCATGTGTGACTCGCCTCATCCCCATGTGTGACTCGCCTCATCCCCATGTGTGACTCGCCTCATCCCCATGTGTGACTCGCCTCATCCCCATGTGTGACTCGCCTCATCCCCATGTGTGACTCGCCTCATCCCCATGTGTGACTCGCCTCATCCCCATGTGTGACTCGCCTCATCCCCATGTGTGACTCGCCTCATCCCCATGTGTGACTCGCCTCATCCCCATGTGTGACTCGCCTCATCCCCATGTGTGACTCGCCTCATCCCCATGTGTGACTCGCCTCATCCCCATGTGTAACCAAGCCCATCCAAACTCACCCACATGTCGTCAGAGTCGCTAAACGGACTGATTTACAATGGTACTCACCAACTATTCTATCCAGCACTTGCTGCAGGCGAAGGCAGTCCCCCAGCAGCACACCGGGCACATCCCCATCCACATGCCACGTCACTGCTCAGGCACCCATACGCACGAGCAATAATAAGTTGATTTTTGAGTGTAGACTCAAAAGTAGTCCCCCAGCAGCACACCGGGTCCATCACCATCCATATGCTATGTCACTGAATAGGCACCCATACGCACGAGCAGAAATGTCATCTTCTTTGGTTAAAGAGACAAGAGCCAATCGAATGCATGAAGAGAAACGCAAGCAGAAGCAGGTGATCAAGACACGGGTGAGGGAGAGGTGAAGGAGAGGTGACAGAGAGGTGACAGAAAGGTGAGAGAGAGTTGAAGGAGAGGTGACAGAGAGGAGAGTGAGAGGTGACAGAGAGGCGAGAGGGAGCGCTGACAATTTAGGCCTCGCTCCTGAGCAGCGAGCACGTGTGGGTGCAGCACGTCACGCAGCCATGAGCGCAGGTCAAACGGCAGGCTCTCTAGATGCAGGCGTCCTGCCTCTGCCTTGCACACATCCAGCACTGAGTTTACGAGCCTCAGGATCCTCCCTGCTTCCTCCAGCGCTGTCCCCTCGTCCTCCCTCTGCCTCTCGTCCAGCCCTCCCTCGTTTAGCTGCTTCAGCATGCCTGCAGGGTGATTGGAATTGGCACAGCGAGTGGTAAGTTGTAGAGATTCGAATGCGAAGACTTACACGTGGAAAGAAACATGAGCATAGCAGGGCGCTTGTTGCGTTATCAAGTGGAAAGGTTTCAAAATGGCATCGAAGCGTGAGTGGATCCTATTTCACCAAGGGGATGAGTGCCCTTGGAATAGGCAGGCAGGCAGGCATCGAAAGGAAAAAAAACCCTCACAAGAAACTCATGGCCACTCATGGCCACTCATGGCCACTCTGGCCACTCCTGGCCACTCCTGGCCACTCCTGGTCACTCCTGGCCACTCCTGGTCACTCCTGGTCACTCCTGGCCACTCCTGGTCACTCCTGGCCACTCCTGGTCACTCCTGGCCACTCCTGGCCACTCATGGCCACTCATGCTTCTCAAAGCCACGGACCTTCCATGCCATTGATGGGAGTGCGCAGCTCATGGGCCGTGCTGGCGATGAACGCACTCTTGTTGCGCTCCGCTGCCTGCGCCGTCTCCTTGAGTACCTTCTCCGCCTCTATCTTGTCGTGCACCCTCCTCGTGTTGAGCGCCACGCTCACGCCGATACCTGCCAGCAGTGCCCCACCACGAGGATGATGAGCCCCCCAGGAAGTTGGCTGTCACAGGTCCTCTGACATGATTTCCAGTGAGCTGCGGCTATTTTTGAGGCGCCTCAAAACCACCCCCAGGAATATGGCTGTCACAGGACTTCTGACATGATTTCCAGCGAGGTGCGGGATTTTTAGGAGATAGGTTTAAGCAAGTAGGAAAGGCGTGTAAAGGTAAACACTAGCAAAACCGAGAGTCTGTACCTGCCAGCAGTGCGGCCACCACGAGGATGATGAGCCCCAGGAATATGGCTGTCACGTTGTGGGCTTCGTCCGAGCCCTGGAAGCTGGGATGGGACCCACCCAGGGGAGGTAGAGTAGATTGGAGCGAGAAGGAGACGATGGGTCTGGTGCTGAGTGGACTCAAAAGCTGCCAGCAGTGCCGCCACCACGAGGATGATGAGCCCCAGGAATATGGCTGTCACGTTGTGGGCTTCGTCCGAGCCCTGGAAGCTGGGGGGCAGGGGAGGTGGATTGGGGTTAGAAGGAGACGATGGGATGAGATGGCGGCTGAAGGCACCGGGTGCAGCATGCACAACGATTGGCTTTAAGTCGGCTAGGTTCACTCAACTAGAAGCGAAACAAGGAACCTTTCTCAAATGGGACGGCGGAAAATGGGAAGGGAAAGGATGTGTAGGGTTGGTTGGGTGGGAAGGGGGGTTGTAGAGGAAGAAAAACAGTGCATTCCTAGAAAGAATTCACCAGCGCCAGAGCTGTGCGAGGGAGGACTAGTTTTGAGGCGCCTCAAAAGAAGAGCAGTGCATCCCTAGAAACGATTCACCTGCACGCTTTTGAGTCGACTCAAAAGTGCATCCCTAGAAACAATTCACCGGCACCAGAGCTGGTAGGTGCGGGAGGAATCGGTGAGGTTGATCTGGTGCACGGCCTTGTGTCGGTGCGGCTGCAGCATGGTCTCGTTGGACGGCGGAATGAGCTTGGCCACTTGCATGGGGTCGCCTTGCGGCAAGTCGCCCACCCCGTACAGCAGGTACGGGCCCAGTGCGGTGGAGGTGGAGGAGTTGCGGGGGCCGGCCGTGGCTGTTACGTCGTACACTTCGAGGGAATACTCCGCGCCTGCACCGGCGAGAGGGGGATGCTCTGTTTGGTCAGCACAGCGCAGCAAGCGTGTGAGGGGGAGCAGAGCAGCCCGCCGGCACTTTGCATGCCTGCACGTTGCACGCACGTTGTACAGCCCAGGGAGATACTCATTCCTTCAGACGGTGCAAAACTGGAGAATAATGCACAAGAGGAACACAGGGAAGGGGGGGCCTTACGAGCCTCATCAGCAGTGGTGAGCGAGTCGTGCCGAGTCATGGCCTTGTTGAGTGAGCAACACTAACAGTCAAGTTGCTAAAACAGTACCAATACCTCTCCACAGTACCAATACCTGTCAGCAGTACCAAAAGAGTCAAGCGACTGTCGGTTGGTGTTGGGTCATGACTGTACCCTTCTCTCAACCAGGCGGGAATAGCTTTGTCATGGTCACATGGTGAGATGGTCACATGGTGAGATGGTGAGATGGTGAGATGATGAGACGGTGAGATGGTGAGATGGTTGGTGCCGGAGCACTTCAAGAATGATGAAGTCGGCAAGTTGGTTGAAGTCCACCGACGCTGCTATGACACCCACCAACGCTGCTATGACACCCACCAACGCTGCTATGACACCCACCGACGCTGCTATGACACCCACCAACGCTGCTATGACACCCACCAACGCTGCTATGACACCCACAAACGCTGCTATGGCCGTGAGACGGTGAGTGAGTGGTGAGAAGATGAGACGGTGAGATAATTGGTCACACCTTGCCGGAGCACTTCAAGAATGATGAAGTCGGCAAGTTGGTTGAAGTCCACCGACGCTGCTATGACTCCCATGAACGCTGCTCGCCTCTCTCGCTGCGCCGACTCCATCGTCACGTTGCCTTTGAAGACTGGCATTATCATGGCTGGGGAATGTGAGGAGAGGAGATGCAAGGAGAATGCGAGGAGAATGCGGGGAGAATGCGAAGAGAAAGTGGGTAGACATGAGATAAAAGGGACATTCAAATGCAAACAAATGAAACTCAGAGGAGGGGAACGTGGGAGGGGAGGGGGGGGGGGAGGAAGGGAGGGGGAAAGATAGAAACAAAGCAAACAACAAGGAAGAGGGAGGGGCGGGAGTGAGGGAGCAAGCGAGCACAAGGGCGAAACACGTGTCTGTCAACATGCTCAGGTCGGGATGAGCCAACGTCTCATACATCCGCCCACGCTCACGCTCACCCATGCCTGGATGCCCATTGGAGAGCACATAGGGCGAAGTGAGCATGTTGCCGCCCGTGTCCTTCACGCGGGTCAGCTGCGGCCCGTACGACGGGTGCGTCCTGGCGTCCAGGCAATCCGTGCTGCGCTGAACGGCATCCAAGGGGTGGTGCTTGTCGAACCAGAAGCGCGGGTCCATGTACCAGTCCGCGCGCGGGACAGGCCTGCCCTGCATGTCCACCAGTGGGCACCGCATGCGCCGCTCGAAGGCCTCCCTGCGGGTGATGCCCGGAGAGGCGACACGGGGAGGGGATGGGATGGGATGGGATGGGATGGGATGGGATTGGATGGGATGGGATGGGATGGGATGGGATGGGATGGGATGGGATGGGATGGGATGGGATGGGATGGGATGGGATGGGATGGGATGGGATGGGATGGGAAACATACAGAAGCCCTTAACTCGAATCCCCGCGGCTCTGCGTTGAACCAAGTCCTGCCTGTTTGGAGTGGGGTGGTCCAATGGTCCAATCCAAGTATCGAGTTGGCAAGAGAAGTGAGGGGGGGAGGGGAGGGAGAGCAGCAGTTGAGAGGTGAGGTGGGGGTGGGAAGAAGGTGAAGGAAGTGCGAGGGCGAGGGTAAGGAGCAGTGGCAGGCAGCGGCAGCAGCGGCGGCGGCAGCGGCAGCGGCGGCCTCAGTGGCGGCGGCAACGGAGGGAGCAGGGGCGGGGGCGCACCTGTCGGAGCCATTGACAAAGGCGGCATAGGCGGTGGCGTGCACCCAGGGGCGGGCGGCCTGTGTGCGCAGCACATAGTCGGCGAAGAGCCTCTGAGTCAAGTTGCTGTGCACCGCCCATGGGTCCTCCTGTAGCCCTCCAAACACCACCGCCAGCCCTTCCAGTGCCTGATGCATGCATGGTGCGGATGGGTGGGTGGGTGCGGTGGATGGGTGGGTTTTGAGTCGACTCGAAAGTCACCCCGGCAGCCCCTCCAGTGCCTGATGCATGCATGGTGCGGATGGGTGGGTGGCGGTGGATGGGTGCATGGGTTGGGTTGGACTCGTGAAGTGGAGTTGGGTGCGTGGGGAGGGGTGGGGGTGCAACGAGACACAGAAGCACAGCACAGGGTGATGGTGGCACAGGGTGATGGTGGCACAGGGTGATGGTGGCACAGGGTGGTGGTGGCACAGGGTGGTGGTGGCACAGGGTGGTGGTGGCACAGGGTGGTGGTGGCACAGGGTGGTGGTGGCACAGGGTGGTGGTGGCACAGGGTGGTGGTGGCTAGGGATGAGCACGTGGGCGGGCCAGGGCCCGGAAATGGCCCGGGCCGGGCATCAGAATTTCGACTTGGGCCCGGGGCGGGCCGGGCTGACCCGGCCCGCCGGGCCGCAGCCGCCCGCTTTTGGCCCGCACTTTTACGGGCCGGTCAATTTCGAAGCGCAGCCCGGGTCGGGCAGTCACGGCCCGATTTGTCGCGGGAGTCAATCAAATGTGAGCTGCACGTCATTTGTGCAGCTCGTTTTCTGCCTAAGCTAGATCGTAACCCCACCCAGCCCTTATCGCTCTGCATTTCGACTAGCCTAAACCAACATTGATAGGAAAATCTAGTCTCTCAAAGTAGGTAGAAACACCCGCGCCCATGGGCTCTAAGGGCTTTGTGACATTGGTCCTAGGTTCTAGACATGACATTACAGCAGTTACAGCCCAGAAATCCACTGGTTTAGAAACTATAACTGCAGCAGGGCCGGGCCGGCCCGGGTCGGGCCATGAAGAGCCCGGGTCGGGCCGGGCACGGCCCGCCCGCTTTAAGGGCGGGCCCGGGCCGAGAGTTCCCTTTAACGGCCCGGGTCGGCCAGGGCCAGCCCGGCTCGGGTTTTTCCGCCGCCCGGGGTGGGCCCGACCCGGGCCGGGCCCGCCCGGTGCTCATCCCTAGTGGTGGCACAGGGTGATGGTGGCACAGGGTGATGGTGGCACAGGGTGATGGCGGCACAGGGGATGCAGCAAGTGCAGAAAGCAGAAGCGCATGGAATTGCAGATGTCCTCGCAGCAGCCCCTGCCCGGGTGGGGCCTTGTGTCCGTTACGTTCCCCCACCACACTGGCCAGCCCCCCCGTGGCGCCTCATGCCCTCGCATAGTAATGCATGAGAGGGGCCATGGGGAGGTGCATGGGGGAACGCACGGGGGAACGCACGGGGGAGAGCAAGGGGGAGCGCATGGGGGAGCGCATGGGGGAGCGCATAGGGGAACACATGGGGGAACGCATGGGGGAACACATGGGGGAACGCATAGGGGAACACATGGGGGAACGCATAGGGGAACACATGGGGGAACGCATGGGGGAACACATGGGGGAACGCATAGGGGAACACATGGGGGAACGCATAGGGGAACACATGGGGGAACGCATAGGGGAACACATGGGGGAACGCATAGGGGAACACATGGGGGAACGCATAGGGGAACACATGGGGGAACGCATAGGGGAACACATGGGGGAACGCACGGGAGAGCGCATGGGGGACGCCATGGGGGGCGCATGGAGGGGCACATGGGGGGGGTGCATTGGGGGTCGCATGAGGGGCACGTGGGGGGATCATTGAGCGGCACATGGGGGGTCACGCAAGGGACAAGCAAGCTTAGCACTGCTGGCGACACGTGTGGCTGGCTCACGTGCTGTAGCCAGTAGGAGTGGGAAAAAAAAACTACAAAAACCATTTTCCTCCCACCCCCCTTTTGTGATTGAGAACTTCACGCAAATTGGAAACGTCAGCCCCCGGTCTTGATATTACAATCCTAAACAAAACCTACACACATTTCATCCACTGTTCTACCCTCCCCCCCCCACACCCCGTCTCCCCTTTCCCCTGTCCCCGGGTTTAGCGTCAAACCACCATAACCTGGTTTGCGGAATAATCGCGAAGCAATGTGACGCTTGTGCCAAAGACTCTTGAGCCGTGCCGTCCAATTGGAGGGAAGGGAAAGAGAGGTAAGGACGCAGGTGGTACTGGGCAAGTTTGCCATGTGTGGCTGCGGCAGCGGTCAGCAGTGCAGCAGTGCAGCAGTGCAGCAGTGCAGCAGTGCAGCAGTGCAGCAGTGCAGCAGTGCAGCAGTGCAGCAGTGCAGCAGTGCAGCAGTGCAGCAGTGCAGCAGTGCAGCAGTGCAGCAGTGCAGCAGTGCAGCATTGCAGCAGTGCAGCAGTGCAGCAGTGCAGCAGTGCAGCAGTGCAGCAGTGCAGCAGTGCAGCAGTGCAGCAGTGCAGCAGTGCAGCAGTGCAGCAGTGCAGCAGTGCAGCAGTGCAGCAGTGCAGCAGTGCAGCAGTGCAGCAGTGCAGCAGTGCAGCAGTCCCGCAGTGCAGCATTGCAGCAGTGCAGCAGTGCAGCAGTGCAGCAGTGCAGCATTGCAGCAGTGCAGCAGTGCAGCAGTGCAGCAGTGCAGCAGTGCAGCAGTGCAGCAGTGCAGCAGTCCCGCAGTGCAGCAGTGCAGCAGTGCAGCAGTGCAGCAGTGCAGCAGTCCCGCAGTGCAGCAGTGCAGCAGTGCAGCAGTGCAGCAGTGCAGCAGTGCAGCAGTGCAGCAGTGCAGCAGTGCAGCATTGCAGCAGTGCAGCAGTGCAGCAGTGCAGCAGTGCAGCAGTCCCGCAGTGCAGCATTGCAGCAGTGCAGCAGTGCAGCAGTGCAGCAGTGCAGCATTGCAGCAGTGCAGCAGTGCAGCAGTGCAGCAGTGCAGCAGTGCAGCAGTGCAGCAGTGCAGCAGTCCCGCAGTGCAGCAGTGCAGCAGTGCAGCAGTGCAGCAGTGCAGCAGTGCAGCAGTGCAGCAGTGCAGCAGTGCAGCAGTCCCGCAGTGCAGCAGTGCAGCAGTGCAGCAGTGCAGCAGTGCAGCTGGGCTGTGAGCTCAGCTGGGCCCGGCAGCGGCTCTACTCTACTAGTAGTACTTGCTCCTGCGCCACCTGCGGCCTGCTAATACAGCTCGGATCGGTGCGCCTTTGAACGCGACTCCGTTCAGAGTTCGCATCGACGGTGGTGCGCGAGTTGCTGCGTGAATTGAGTCCTGGTGATGTCCTCCTGTCCCGCACAGTGTTCGCCAACAATTCGACGAGTGAGGATTCGATAAGTGGGGGGCGCGACGCGAGGACGCGCAGCGCCGGCGCTGCCATGCCAGGCCATTGGCCCACTGGGCGCTGGCAGAGGAGCGACGCTAACGTATCGAAGACCAACTGCGTCCAAAGCTCCCTACTAGTGCGGGCTGCCGCGTAAATGGAGATCATTTGTTCAAACGCTGCTACATAGCAGGGTGATTATGGTTTTTTTTCGTTCTCGTCATCTTTCGTAGCGACCCACAAACCGAAATTCTCATAGAAACAAATGCCAGGTTCCCTGGCTTGGTTCGAAAGGGGAGGAAGCGCATCGGCCTTGAGAGGAAGAAACGATGGAAGACGATGGGAATGTTGACAGCGTGAGAGGAATTGAGGTAACGAGGAAGCCAACGCCTCCGGGCGCGCGAACATCAACCTGTCCGTCGCCGACGTGTGTGCGATGCTACTGTGCGATGCTACTGTGCGATGCTACTATGCCATGCGATGAAACGAAACCGCGCGATGCGACGGCGATACTATCGTTACCTGCACGTGGTCGGCCGCGGTCATGAACTGGTCGCACACGGCACATCACACACCACATCTCGCTTAGGACTCCTGAACGTGCTCCGCGTAACTGCACGTGGTGGGCCGTGTACCTGCACGTGGTGGGCAGTGTACCTGCACGTGGTCGGCCGTCAGCATGAACTGCTGCTGCAGCGAGCGCGCGCGACCGGCGCACCAGGTGTCGAGCTCCGCCTTGCGATTGTCGTCGAAGCCCTTCTGCACCCTCCACGCCACCAGCCCCGCCAGCACGCCCGCGCACCCCATCCACACCGCCACCGCCGCCGTCATTCGCGCTATCATCCTACGGTCTAACACCATCTCCAGATCGTCAGTCGCTTGGCTATTCTGGTGCTTCTGTTTCTCTGCTTCAGGCAAATACAGAGCTAGCGAATCGGAGAGACTGCTCCTCATGCATCACTCAACAATGGATTTCGCTGTACTGTACCCTCCAGAGTCTCGGTTTCGGTGGTTTTAGCGCAACAGGATGAATGCCAAATGCTGACGTCGTCAATTTGCTCATCCAACTCAAAAACCGAGAGAATTACTGTAGAACCTGGATCGGTGATTCATCCTTACTCGCGTGGCCTTGAATTACTCGAGTGGCCACCAAATTTGGTGATAATTACTCGAGTGGCCACGCCAGGGGATTCCCGCTGGTATTTTTTTACCCGGCTCATTAGCCTAGAAGGGTTTGTATCCCCGAAACCTCTGTACTGATTAATGCGCGATCTTCAATATCCGAAATTTAGGATCGTGACCACATATGACCGCGCCTGATTGGACGCGCATTGCAAAACAAAGCACCGCACATATAATCGACCAATCATGCGCGGTCATTTAATGTCCCGCGCATTGACGCCCGGGCATTGTAGTTTATGATCACGGAAATACATGATCGGACATTAATATATGATGTGCCCGACCATCAATGACCGCGCATGATTGGTCGACTATATGCGCGTCCAATCAGACGCGGTCATATAGATTCACGAACATAAATTTCGAATACAAATCATCACGCGAAAACATCCATTATACATCATCGCGTAAATTGAAAATCACGCAATTATCAATACAGAGGTTTCGGGGATACGAACCCTTGTAGGGTAATGCGCCGGGAAAAAAAAAGCCAGCGGGAATCCCCTGGCGTGGCCACTCGAGTAATTATCACCAAATTTGGTGGCCACTCGAGTAATTCGAGGCCACGCGAGTAAGGATGAATCACCGATCCAGGTTCTACAGTAATTCTCTCTCAAAAACCGCATCCCTCGTGCGTTTGAACACGGGCAAGGTCCATCCTATCGCAGCCGTTGATCGCTCAACTTATCGCGCTGTCGCGGGGGTGTTTGGGTTGGGGCACGCGAAAAATCACGTATGGTCCCATTTTTCTCCTGGCGGAGGTGGCGAGGCGAGGCGAGCGGTGTGCACGCACGGTGGAGTGTAGGGTGCTTAGAAAGGGACCACACTATTGCGGCGCTGCAGAACCTGCCAAAACTGTCTTTTCTACCTCATGCCGAATAAATATACACAGGATGCTTGTTTGAGAGACCACTGTAGCCTTCTCACTGAGAGTTTGAGTGATTCTTGCATTTCGCATAGGTTTCGTCAATTCGCACCTAGCAAAAAAGTGCTTATAGAAAACTCGTAACTTCCGGTTGACTTTTTGACTTTGGTCTCTTCATTTTGACTTTGGTTTCTGTGGTTACTATTGGTTAATAGTCACTGCAACCTGCTCGAGGTTCTTGTAACGTGGATGCAACTGGCTGGCGCAAAATGCACGGTTGCAGACCTTCTGGCGTGTACAAGGCAAATTCGCGCGCAGCAGTTGAGCAACATTTGTACAGTATGAAAATCTTAAAAATACTGTACGCGATCTTTTTTCCAAATCATGTGCATAAAAACAAACCCTTTGTTCAATTGTATATAAAAGAGCTAATATTCCAGTATAAAGCACAAGCAAGAAATGCAAACCACATGCTACCTTCAATGTGTGCCATAAGAAAGCAGTAAAATAGTAATTTCAGCATATTAATATATAACCATTCATACAATTCTCATATGGAAAGGCAGAATAAAGTTACGCATTTAGGGTTAATCAATCTGATGATGCATCCATATTCCTTACGGGTTTTATTATTTTTTTACAGTTTTATATATGACCATTTTCTTTACTTTCCCCGACTGATCGTGTGAAACGTCTTATCAAGCAAGTGAAAACCCCTTTTCTTTGACCGTAGTCTTTTTTTTACCACAAATGTTGTCCAGCCATTATTTATCACTAAGGGCATATTTCCTCTTTAAGACTCGGCTTATGTAAAGAGTTTCGAATCTTTGGTAAGTGAAATCGGGGTGGGGCTGAATTTGGCTGGCGTGGGCCGAGTGCAGCTGAGGTACGGAAATCCCAGACATTGTCAGGCTTGGACGAGGTTTGGTTGGGCACAGCGGTGCCCTTGACGAGGCTGTGCAAACACAGGCTCTCGCCAGCCTGTGCCTGGGTGGAATTCCGATGTTTTCGACATTCTGTACGACCCTGACAGAGCGTTTCATTTCAGCCTGATCAGCATATAATATGGCTCAGCTATTCCTAGCTCTCTATCTCACTCGTCTGCCGAGTAATTTCTTACTGATCAGTCTCTTCCAGACTCGATTGCGGATTCTGAGTCATTTTATCAGCCATTTATGGATTCTTCGTGTGGTCTTCGCCAGCGTCGGAGTGCTGCCATCTATGTCGACAGAGAGTCTGACATGATCGACCCGTTAGCAACTCATCAGGCTATTTCTCGACCCTCCATGGGTTCCCAAGTTCTTTCATCATCTGGACTTCGCGAGCGGAGAAGTGCTGCCGTTTATGTCGACAGAGAGTCTGACTGTTCTTCTCCGAGAGGTCGCATTGGCGATTTGAGTTTTCAAGACGATGCTCAATATGCCGTCGAGAGCTCTCCTTGTCAACAACTACCGTGGATGACGTCCCCAGCGACGGTTCTTCACATTGAACCCTCTCCTGTTGTTTCGTTTGGAGACCAGGTTGCTGACAAGGAGAGTAGGCTCAGATGTGCTCGCCGGCTTGCACCTCTTGACGTTCTTTACGAACTTGACAAGGTATTATGAGCAAAATCGTCGACCCAATGTTCTCCTACGAACTTTCTTGCCTTCTTTTTCTAATCGATTTTTAGTGGCTTTGTCTTTCAGGTTGAGGAAACAATCACCGTCAGAGTAGAGGATATTGTCTCTTCGTTGCAACTTGATAGCCAGCAACGTCAGCAGGATTACGTCAAAGATATTGCTGCAGTAAGACCTATTTCTGTACTCAGTGCTTCATTTCAAGCCAAGCAGGCCAACTAATGGCCCTTCCCTTCAATTGCAGGAATGCAAGGAGTTCGCTCTACTATTAGCTTGCGGTTTGCAACAACCACAGGATGTTCCAGATGCTGAGAGGCTTTTCCGAAGCCATGATCTGTCTGGAGAAGATGCGCGGAGAACTGTACTCGAGGTGCAAAATGTCGTGGATTCTTATACCCTTGAAAAGGCTCTAAGGTAGCCATCACCACAAGGCTGTCAGAAGTGTCATAGAGCTTCTTTCTTGTACATAGATCACTCGCCGAAAGGGCAAAACAAGCCTGCTCCTGATTCCCTGCATAGCTGCATTTCTATTTGTTGTTCATGGGAATGCTTCGGAAAGTTCAGTATTCATTGAGAGTAGGTACACCAGAATTTTCAAAGCCTAAGAAAATCACCTTATACACACTTCAAGGTTCAACTGTCCCTACACGCATAAAGATGGGGAAGCAAACTCTCCTGTGCACCACGCTAGAGCTCCTCTCCTTGCTTCCCTCCCCACCACCACTTTCTTCAGCCAACCATGCCTCCTCCAACTCAGCACACGCGTCAGGTGCCAACAGGTCCACCCCTTTCGCCTTGGCAGTAGCAACAGCCGACCAGGAGGAGAGAAAACCAATGACATCTTCGAAACTCCACTCCACAATGGACTCGAATCGCAAGGGACCCGTCCCCTGCTCCTGGAGCTCTGTCACGCGAAGAGTCAGAGAGCAGGAAGCACATGGGATACAGGTGTGTGAGAGAGAGAGAGAGAGAGAGAGAGAGAGAGAGAGAGAGAGAGAGAGAGAGAGAGAGAGAGAGAGAGAGAGAGAGAGGGAAAGCGAGACCATGAGTGATGGACGTTGGCCCACCCATTCCATTCCAGCACATGCATTGAGACAACACAGCCCTCACACACCACATACAACTGTGCAACAATAAGACAGGCCTTTGGGAGAAATCATAGGAGGGTAGAGGAGTTACAGGGGACACACTTACGGGGCAAGGGTTGGAAGTGGAAGGGAATGTCCCGGTAGCAGCGGTCAACATAGCTCTTCTGCGGCTCCCAGAAGGGGTCTGAGAGCGCGTAGAAGCGATCCAACGCACTGTCCACCCGCGGGTTCACACTGCGAGAAGGGACGCAGGGGGTGGTGGTGCAACAGGAACGAGGATAGGTGATGGGGCAACAGGAACGAGGATAGGTGATGGGGCAACAGGAATGAGGATCAGGGAAACGAAGGTGAGGGGAGTGGGGCTTGAGCTGATTCACTTCAGGGAACAAACGAGGGAAAAACATACGAGCTTAGGAATAGGAGGGAGGGAAGAGGAGCAAAGGCAGGCATCCAGTGGCATGCAGTAACAGTGGCTAGGGAGGCTACGCGCTGAGCAGCTAGCAAAGAAAGTAAGTATAGATCCGAATCCAGAGAGGCGAGGAGGAGCAAGGGTCAGTGCATGGCATACCGAGGCAGGGTGTAGCACCAGGCGGCAACGACCCCAGTGTGTGGCTTGAGCACGGCGCGCACATTGGCAGCAAAGCGGTCAAAGTGGAACCAGTGCATGGCCTGCGCTGCCGTCACCAGATCCACACTCGCTGCCCCACCGCACATGCCGGCGACCGGAGGGCAGGGGAGGGGAGGGAGGGGAGGGGAGGGGAGGGACAAACTGGGAACGAAACAACTCGGAAAAAAGGGGATCGCGAGCGCGTGACACTGGCAGGGCCAGGAAAGCAGAGCAGAGGAGACAGCAATAACTCCTTTCGTCTCCCCCACTCCGAGCCGGACAACCCCCCAAGTTTGCCCCCGTTAGCAGCACTGCCGAGGCGTGCTCGCAGCTCCTAGAAGGGCGCGAGCAGGGCGCTCAGCTGTATTAGCCGCGACGCGACTCACCGGGCGGCCCGACGATGTCGCGCACGTGCGCGTCGTCCATGGCGGGCGGAGTGGTGGCGTAGCGCACGTTGGGCAGCGCGGGCGCGTGGCTCAGCTGCGCCGCGCTGATGTCCGTCGCCACCACGCGCGCGAACGTACCCGCCAGCTGCGCAGAACGGGGCGAGAAGGGGGGGAAGGAGGGGGAGGAGATCGGGGGAAGGAGGGCGGGCGGGGACGGGGGAGATGGGCGGGCGGTAACGGTGGAGATGGGAAGCGGGAAGGATGGAGGGGGGAAGACACACAAGAATGATGAGACGGAGTCCTGTTCGTAGAATGGCCACCGAAAGCATCACAGTTGCATGGGTGAGACCAGAAACGCTCCCCTCGTCCCCTTCGTTTCGCCAAGGCCTACCTCGGCGGCGCACTGCCCGTTGCCCGTGCCCACGTCCCACGCCAGCTCGCGCGCGGGGCAGAGCTCCGCCAGGAACGCGAACAGCGCGGGGGGGTATCGCGGACGGTGCCGCGCGTACTCCGCGGCCTGCCGGGAAAACAGGTCCGGATTCAACGGCGGCATGGCGGTCCCCGGCGCAGCGGCGCGCGCGTGAGGGACACGACGGGGGGGTTGTCCGGCACGGAGTGAGCGGGAGGCGCGGCCTCCAAGGGTGTGAAACTCACGGCTCCTCTTAGAACAGAGGCGCCGTTTCGAGTCGCAGTTTGATCAAGCCTGTGTGTGCCGGCAAGTCGACCCTGTACTCCAAGAGTCGCGGAAAAGGCGCGTCTCAAAACTCGCGGAAAGGGCGCGCGTATGTATCGTCGAATATCTCGGAGGGGCGCGCGGACGAGTCAGATTCGAATCAGCGCGCGTAAACGAAGACGACGGAACGCGCTGCTAGATTGAGAATGTCGTGCTGTTCAGATCGGGTTAAAATACACGCGAGTGCAAGCCCGCCGCTGGAAAGCGCCGATTACGGTGCGCGCGCGATGGGCTACTGCAACGGTGGGGACGTGTGCGAATTCTAAATGGGTTCGGAAAGTGTGCTCTCGGATTGCGTGGCGCACTGGGTTTTACGCATTGAACATAAGGGGGTTCGTCGAGAGAATCGACGAAGGGGACAGGTGCAAAGGAGGGGCGCTTTGCCATGGGCTTGGCTTGGCTGGCATGGCACGATCAGGCAGCTGTGACGTCAGCCTGTTCAGCAGCAGCCACGAAGCTGGGGTTGCTACGGACCGGAACGACAATTTCATCAAACAAGTTACCCCAGAACTGTTACAGGTGCAATCTACATCTGGGCAAGTGTTGGCAGCTGGAACATGAACAGCAGGCACAATCCTCATCCCCGTGATTTCATGGAAAAACGCTAAGTGGAAACAAATGGAACGAACAGCTATGACATGAATACTAGGACACAGCAATCAGGCGCAATGAGCTATCAACAATTCCTCCCGACTACATTATTACTGTCGCTACACCCCTAAGCCTCCTCCCATTAAGCTTATGCTCCTGCAGCTGCTGCTGCGTTCTGTTGACCAATTCTCTGCACCAAAGCCAAACCCACTGCTGCCTTTCCTACCGACCATTTCCTTTCCTCCTGCCAAACCCAACCATAGCTGCTGCTCCTACTCCTCCTCCTCCTGCTGCTGCTGCTTATTACTCTTTCTTAGCTGCATCTGTGCCTGCGGAGTTGCCTGCGCCTGTCCATGTGAGTGCGGTGCGTGCAGGGGCAGGGAGGGCGGGGGCAGCAGCAGGCGGCGCAGCAGCTCGTACGAGGCAAAGAAGATAGCGCCCTGGGAGATGTAGATCAGCAGCCGAGGCGCCACTCCTCTGGTGGTACAGATGGGTTTAGAACGGTTCAGGGTGGTGGGAAAAGACGGAGGAGGATGGGGGTTAGGGCAATGGAAGAGGTTCGTGGAGCAGAGGAGGTGGTGTTAGAGAGACAAGGGAGTGGGTGGAGGGAGGGCGGGAGGGAGGGAGGGAGGGAAGGAGGGAGGGAGGGAGGGAGGGAGGGAGGGAGGGAGGGAGGGAGGGAGGGAGGGAGGGAGGGAGGGAGGGAGGGAGGGAGGGAGGGAGGGAGGGAGGGAGGGAGGGAGGGTGCACAGAATAGCACAACCTTCCACTCCCTGATTGCCACCCAAGTCCCTTGCTCTATCCTTTGCTCTATCCCGCTGGTATTACTCCCCACCCCTGCCTCACCGGTACAGCGCCCCAATGCCTTCCTCCCTGGCGATGCGTGAGAATGCATCCACCACTCCCTTGTACTTGGGCGCGCCTGGTAGCTGGTGCGGGGGAGACAGACACATGCACACAGCCACACATGCACACAGCCACACATGCATGCATGCACCATGCGGTGCAGCCATTCACACGCATACATATCAGGGGCACACGGATATGAATGACAATGTCAGAAGTAGGAAAAGCTCTGTCAATGCCCTCCCCCTTGCTCTCCTATCCCCTCCCCTCCACCCTCACCCCCCTTTCCCCCATGGAGCTCACTGCTGGGCACACACACAGCACACAGCCTTGCACGCCCACCATCGTCATTCTTTTTTAAAGACTTAACCTCATCTGACATGTCGAGTCCACATCTGACATGTCGAGTCCACATCTGACGTGTCGAGTCCACATCTGACATGTCAAGTCCACTCACGTCTTTGTGCATGTCAGTCAGTGCACACCGAGTCGCCGACTTCCAGTCCCGTCCAGCCGCACAGCCATGAAAGAGCAGCGCTGACACGACATCCCACCACCCGGAGCCATGCACGCACCCCACCATCCAACCAACCCCCCTCTTCCCCAACCCGGCTTCTTCACCCTCCTCCCTCTCCTCCCCTGCAGGCCATTTTGAGGCAGGCACCCTAGCGGAAACTCCCCCTCCCCCCCCCCCCACCACTCACCATCATCATTCATTTTTTAAGACTTAACCTCATCTGACATGTCGAGTTCACATCTGACATGTCGAGTCCACATCTGACATGTCGAGTCCACATCTGACATGTCGAGTCCACATCTGACATGTCGAGTCCACATCTGACATGTCGAGTCCACATCTGACATGTCGAGTCCACATCTGACATGTCGAGTCCACATCTGACATGTCGAGTCCACATCTGACATGTCGAGTCCACATCTGACGTGTCGAGTCCACATCTGACGTGTCGAGCCCACATCTGACGTGTCGAGTCCACATCTGACATGTCGAGTCCACATCTGACGTGTCGAGTCCACATCTGACGTGTCGAGTCCACATCTGACATGTCGAGTCCACCCACATCTTTGTGCATGTCAGTCAGTACACGCCGACTTCCAGTCCAGCCACACAGCCACACAGCCATGCAAGAGCAGCACTGACACAACATCCCACCACCCGGAGCCATGCACGCACCCCACCATCCAACCAAACCCCCCTCTTCCCCAACCCGGCTTCTTCACCCTCCTCCCTCTCCTCCCCTGCAGGCCATTTTGAGGCAGGCACCCTAGCGGAAACTCCCCCTCCCCCCCCCCCCCCCACCACGCTCGCCACCCCACCCCCTTACATGCGTCTGCAGGCGCGTCTTGACAACATCAAAGGGCGTGGTGCAGAACGCTGCTGTGGACCCCGCTGCTCCCCCCACCAGCAACTGATGGGACGAGGAGCACAGTGGAGAGGGGCGGGCAGAGACCAGGAGGAAGGGGAGTAGGGGGGAGGAAGGAGGGAGGCAGAAGGGCAAGGGAAGTGGGAGTGGATTGACAACGTCAAAAGGCGTGGTGCAGAACGGTGCTGTTGACCCCACTGCCCCCCCACCAGCAACTGCGGGGGCGAGGAGCAGCGGGGGAGGAGGTGAGCAGGGACGGGAAGGGGGAGGGAGGAGAGAGGGGTCGGGGAGGGATGGGAGAAGCAGGAGGGGGTAGAAGGAGGGGGGGATGGTGAGGATGATGGTAGAAGGGGGGGAAGGAGGGAGGAGGCAAAGGGCAAGGGAAGTTTGTTAAACATTCCAGCAAGCAGGAGTTTAAAGGACAAGTGAGTGGGAGTGGATTGAACAGCTCAAAATAGCACCTCAGTGGGAGGGAAGGGGGTGGCGGTGGGTGGGTGAGAGGCACACACGCACCCCCCCTCCTTTCCCCCCCCCCACTTTTCCCTTTCACCCTCCTCCTCCTCCCTCCATCCAAGCCCCAAGCACAGACGTGGGGTGGCAGGCAGGGGGACACCCCGCATAGGGACGGTATACCGCACGCACGCCGCGCACCTGGTTGGCGGGGGAGAGCAGGGTGGCATGCGCCCCGTCCGCCCCCCCAAGCCCAGGCGGGGATGGGGTGGCGGGGGGATACCCCGCCTAGGGACGGTATACCGCACCTGGTTGGTTTTGAAGCGCCTCAAAACCAGATGGGGGTGGGGTGGCGGGGGGATATCTTGCCTAGGGAGGGAACAGCGCACCTGGTTGGCGGGGGAGAGCAGGGTGGCATGCGCCCCGTCCGCCCCCCCAAGCCCAGGCGGGGATGGGGTGGCGGGGGGATACCCCGCCTAGGGACGGTATACCGCACCTGGTTGGTTTTGAAGCGCCTCAAAACCAGATGGGGGTGGGGTGGCGGGGGGATATCTTGCCTAGGGAGGGAACAGCGCACCTGGTTGGCGGGGGAGAGCAGGGTGGCATGCGCCCCGTCCGCCCCCCCAAGCCCAGGCGGGGATGGGGTGGCGGGGGGATACCCCGCCTAGGGACGGTATACCGCACCTGGTTGGTTTTGAAGCGCCTCAAAACCAGATGGGGGTGGGGTGGCGGGGGGATATCTTGCCTAGGGAGGGAACAGCGCACCTGGTTGGCGGGGGAGAGCAGGGTGGCATGCGCCCCGTCCGCCCCCCCAAGCCCAGGCGGGGATGGGGTGGCGGGGGGATACCCCGCCTAGGGACGGTATACCGCACCTGGTTGGTTTTGAAGCGCCTCAAAACCAGATGGGGGTGGGGTGGCGGGGGGATATCTTGCCTAGGGAGGGAACAGCGCACCTGGTTGGCGGGGGAGAGCAGGGTGGCATGCGCCCCGTCCGCCCCCCCAAGCCCAGGCGGGGATGGGGTGGCGGGGGGATACCCCGCCTAGGGACGGTATACCGCACCTGGTTGGTTTTGAAGCGCCTCAAAACCAGATGGGGGTGGGGTGGCGGGGGGATATCTTGCCTAGGGAGGGAACAGCGCACCTGGTTGGCGGGGGAGAGCAGGGTGGCATGCGCCCCGTCCGCCCCCCCAAGCCCAGGCGGGGATGGGGTGGCGGGGGGATACCCCGCCTAGGGACGGTATACCGCACCTGGTTGGTTTTGAAGCGCCTCAAAACCAGATGGGGGTGGGGTGGCGGGGGGATATCTTGCCTAGGGAGGGAACAGCGCACCTGGTTGGCGGGGGAGAGCAGGGTGGCATGCGCCCCGTCCGCCCCCCCAAGCCCAGGCGGGGATGGGGTGGCGGGGGGATACCCCGCCTAGGGACGGTATACCGCACCTGGTTGGTTTTGAAGCGCCTCAAAACCAGATGGGGGTGGGGTGGCGGGGGGATATCTTGCCTAGGGAGGGAACAGCGCACCTGGTTGGCGGGGGAGAGCAGGGTGGCATGCGCCCCGTCCGCCCCCCCAAGCCCAGGCGGGGATGGGGTGGCGGGGGGATACCCCGCCTAGGGACGGTATACCGCACCTGGTTGGTTTTGAAGCGCCTCAAAACCAGATGGGGGTGGGGTGGCGGGGGGATATCTTGCCTAGGGAGGGAACAGCGCACCTGGTTGGCGGGGGAGAGCAGGGTGGCATGCGCCCCGTCCGCCCCCCCAAGCCCAGGCGGGGATGGGGTGGCGGGGGGATACCCCGCCTAGGGACGGTATACCGCACCTGGTTGGTTTTGAAGCGCCTCAAAACCAGATGGGGGTGGGGTGGCGGGGGGATATCTTGCCTAGGGAGGGAACAGCGCACCTGGTTGGCGGGGGAGAGCAGGGTGGCATGCGCCCCGTCCGCCCCCCCAAGCCCAGGCGGGGATGGGGTGGCGGGGGGATACCCCGCCTAGGGACGGTATACCGCACCTGGTTGGTTTTGAAGCGCCTCAAAACCAGATGGGGGTGGGGTGGCGGGGGGATATCTTGCCTAGGGAGGGAACAGCGCACCTGGTTGGCGGGGGAGAGCAGGGTGGCATGCGCCCCGTCCGCCCCCCCAAGCCCAGGCGGGGATGGGGTGGCGGGGGGATACCCCGCCTAGGGACGGTATACCGCACCTGGTTGGTTTTGAAGCGCCTCAAAACCAGATGGGGGTGGGGTGGCGGGGGGATATCTTGCCTAGGGAGGGAACAGCGCACCTGGTTGGCGGGGGAGAGCAGGGTGGCATGCGCCCCGTCCGCCCCCCCAAGCCCAGGCGGGGATGGGGTGGCGGGGGGATACCCCGCCTAGGGACGGTATACCGCACCTGGTTGGTTTTGAAGCGCCTCAAAACCAGATGGGGGTGGGGTGGCGGGGGGATATCTTGCCTAGGGAGGGAACAGCGCACCTGGTTGGCGGGGGAGAGCAGGGTGGCATGCGCCCCGTCCGCCCCCCCAAGCCCAGGCGGGGATGGGGTGGCGGGGGGATACCCCGCCTAGGGACGGTATACCGCACCTGGTTGGTTTTGAAGCGCCTCAAAACCAGATGGGGGTGGGGTGGCGGGGGGATATCTTGCCTAGGGAGGGAACAGCGCACCTGGTTGGCGGGGGAGAGCAGGGTGGCATGCGCCCCGTCCGCCCCCCCAAGCCCAGGCGGGGATGGGGTGGCGGGGGGATACCCCGCCTAGGGACGGTATACCGCACCTGGTTGGTTTTGAAGCGCCTCAAAACCAGATGGGGGTGGGGTGGCGGGGGGATATCTTGCCTAGGGAGGGAACAGCGCACCTGGTTGGCGGGGGAGAGCAGGGTGGCATGCGCCCCGTCCGCCCCCCCAAGCCCAGGCGGGGATGGGGTGGCGGGGGGATACCCCGCCTAGGGACGGTATACCGCACCTGGTTGGTTTTGAAGCGCCTCAAAACCAGATGGGGGTGGGGTGGCGGGGGGATATCTTGCCTAGGGAGGGAACAGCGCACCTGGTTGGCGGGGGAGAGCAGGGTGGCATGCGCCCCGTCCGCCCCCCCAAGCCCAGGCGGGGATGGGGTGGCGGGGGGATACCCCGCCTAGGGACGGTATACCGCACCTGGTTGGTTTTGAAGCGCCTCAAAACCAGATGGGGGTGGGGTGGCGGGGGGATATCTTGCCTAGGGAGGGAACAGCGCACCTGGTTGGCGGGGGAGAGCAGGGTGGCATGCGCCCCGTCCGCCCCCCCAAGCCCAGGCGGGGATGGGGTGGCGGGGGGATACCCCGCCTAGGGACGGTATACCGCACCTGGTTGGTTTTGAAGCGCCTCAAAACCAGATGGGGGTGGGGTGGCGGGGGGATATCTTGCCTAGGGAGGGAACAGCGCACCTGGTTGGCGGGGGAGAGCAGGGTGGCATGCGCCCCGTCCGCCCCCCCAAGCCCAGGCGGGGATGGGGTGGCGGGGGGATACCCCGCCTAGGGACGGTATACCGCACCTGGTTGGTTTTGAAGCGCCTCAAAACCAGATGGGGGTGGGGTGGCGGGGGGATATCTTGCCTAGGGAGGGAACAGCGCACCTGGTTGGCGGGGGAGAGCAGGGTGGCATGCGCCCCGTCCGCCCCCCCAAGCCCAGGCGGGGATGGGGTGGCGGGGGGATACCCCGCCTAGGGACGGTATACCGCACCTGGTTGGTTTTGAAGCGCCTCAAAACCAGATGGGGGTGGGGTGGCGGGGGGATATCTTGCCTAGGGAGGGAACAGCGCACCTGGTTGGCGGGGGAGAGCAGGGTGGCATGCGCCCCGTCCGCCCCCCCAAGCCCAGGCGGGGATGGGGTGGCGGGGGGATACCCCGCCTAGGGACGGTATACCGCACCTGGTTGGTTTTGAAGCGCCTCAAAACCAGATGGGGGTGGGGTGGCGGGGGGATATCTTGCCTAGGGAGGGAACAGCGCACCTGGTTGGCGGGGGAGAGCAGGGTGGCATGCGCCCCGTCCGCCCCCCCAAGCCCAGGCGGGGATGGGGTGGCGGGGGGATACCCCGCCTAGGGACGGTATACCGCACCTGGTTGGTTTTGAAGCGCCTCAAAACCAGATGGGGGTGGGGTGGCGGGGGGATATCTTGCCTAGGGAGGGAACAGCGCACCTGGTTGGCGGGGGAGAGCAGGGTGGCATGCGCCCCGTCCGCCCCCCCAAGCCCAGGCGGGGATGGGGTGGCGGGGGGATACCCCGCCTAGGGACGGTATACCGCACCTGGTTGGTTTTGAAGCGCCTCAAAACCAGATGGGGGTGGGGTGGCGGGGGGATATCTTGCCTAGGGAGGGAACAGCGCACCTGGTTGGCGGGGGAGAGCAGGGTGGCATGCGCCCCGTCCGCCCCCCCAAGCCCAGGCGGGGATGGGGTGGCGGGGGGATACCCCGCCTAGGGACGGTATACCGCACCTGGTTGGTTTTGAAGCGCCTCAAAACCAGATGGGGGTGGGGTGGCGGGGGGATATCTTGCCTAGGGAGGGAACAGCGCACCTGGTTGGCGGGGGAGAGCAGGGTGGCATGCGCCCCGTCCGCCCCCCCAAGCCCAGGCGGGGATGGGGTGGCGGGGGGATACCCCGCCTAGGGACGGTATACCGCACCTGGTTGGTTTTGAAGCGCCTCAAAACCAGATGGGGGTGGGGTGGCGGGGGGATATCTTGCCTAGGGAGGGAACAGCGCACCTGGTTGGCGGGGGAGAGCAGGGTGGCATGCGCCCCGTCCGCCCCCCCAAGCCCAGGCGGGGATGGGGTGGCGGGGGGATACCCCGCCTAGGGACGGTATACCGCACCTGGTTGGTTTTGAAGCGCCTCAAAACCAGATGGGGGTGGGGTGGCGGGGGGATATCTTGCCTAGGGAGGGAACAGCGCACCTGGTTGGCGGGGGAGAGCAGGGTGGCATGCGCCCCGTCCGCCCCCCCAAGCCCAGGCGGGGATGGGGTGGCGGGGGGATACCCCGCCTAGGGACGGTATACCGCACCTGGTTGGTTTTGAAGCGCCTCAAAACCAGATGGGGGTGGGGTGGCGGGGGGATATCTTGCCTAGGGAGGGAACAGCGCACCTGGTTGGCGGGGGGAGAGCAGGGTGGCATGCGCCCCGTCCGCCCCCCCAAGCCCAGGCGGGGATGGGGTGGCGGGGGGATACCCCGCCTAGGGACGGTATACCGCACCTGGTTGGTTTTGAAGCGCCTCAAAACCAGATGGGGGTGGGGTGGCGGGGGGATATCTTGCCTAGGGAGGGAACAGCGCACCTGGTTGGCGGGGGAGAGCAGGGTGGCATGCGCCCCGTCCGCCCCCCCAAGCCCAGGCGGGGATGGGGTGGCGGGGGGATACCCCGCCTAGGGACGGTATACCGCACCTGGTTGGTTTTGAAGCGCCTCAAAACCAGATGGGGGTGGGGTGGCGGGGGGATATCTTGCCTAGGGAGGGAACAGCGCACCTGGTTGGCGGGGGAGAGCAGGGTGGCATGCGCCCCGTCCGCCCCCCCAAGCCCAGGCGGGGATGGGGTGGCGGGGGGATACCCCGCCTAGGGACGGTATACCGCACCTGGTTGGTTTTGAAGCGCCTCAAAACCAGATGGGGGTGGGGTGGCGGGGGGATATCTTGCCTAGGGAGGGAACAGCGCACCTGGTTGGCGGGGGAGAGCAGGGTGGCATGCGCCCCGTCCGCCCCCCCAAGCCCAGGCGGGGATGGGGTGGCGGGGGGATACCCCGCCTAGGGACGGTATACCGCACCTGGTTGGTTTTGAAGCGCCTCAAAACCAGATGGGGGTGGGGTGGCGGGGGGATATCTTGCCTAGGGAGGGAACAGCGCACCTGGTTGGCGGGGGAGAGCAGGGTGGCATGCGCCCCGTCCGCCCCCCCAAGCCCAGGCGGGGATGGGGTGGCGGGGGGATACCCCGCCTAGGGACGGTATACCGCACCTGGTTGGTTTTGAAGCGCCTCAAAACCAGATGGGGGTGGGGTGGCGGGGGGATATCTTGCCTAGGGAGGGAACAGCGCACCTGGTTGGCGGGGGAGAGCAGGGTGGCATGCGCCCCGTCCGCCCCCCCAAGCCCAGGCGGGGATGGGGTGGCGGGGGGATACCCCGCCTAGGGACGGTATACCGCACCTGGTTGGTTTTGAAGCGCCTCAAAACCAGATGGGGGTGGGGTGGCGGGGGGATATCTTGCCTAGGGAGGGAACAGCGCACCTGGTTGGCGGGGGAGAGCAGGGTGGCATGCGCCCCGTCCGCCCCCCCAGCTGCCTTGACCTGCGCCTCCAGTGCTCGCTTCTTCAGCGCCTCGTACGTCAGGAACTGGTGGGGCGCGCACGGCAGACACGGTGCATGGGTGGGGGGTTGTTTTTCATTCAACTCAAAAATAGACCTGCGCTTCCAGTGCTCGCTTCTTCAGCGCCTCGTATGTCAGGAACTGGTGGGGCGCGCAGGGCAAGCGCGGGGTGACGGGAAGGGGATGGTGGGCGAGGGAGTGCAGTGAGGAGGAGGGCATAGGGAGAAGGGAGGTGTGGAGGAGATGGAGGGGGGGGGGAAGGAAAGTGCAGCAGCAGCGGCGGCGGCGGCGGCGGCGGCGGCGGCGGCGGCGGCAGCACTAGCAGCAGCACACCTTGATGACGGAGTTGGGGATGTTGCGGGCCAGCACGGCCGCCAGCCCACCGTACAGCGACGCCACGCCCTCTGTGCGCGCCATGCCCACCAGCGCATGCCTGCTCGCATGGGCCACGAGCGGGGGGGAGGGGGGGGGGGGGGGGGGGGGGGGGGGGGTGGATGGGGGAGTATGTTTGAGGCGCCTCAAAAGCCGCCACGGCCTCTGTGCGCGCCATGCCCACCAACGCATGCCTGCGCGCATGCACCATGTACAGCCCGCCCATGCGAGGGGGAGGGAAAGGGAAACGGAGACTATTGGTGCATGGTGGTGATGGTGGGTTTGAGTCGACTCAAAAGCCGCCAGCCCACCGTACAGCGACGCCACACCCTCTGTGCGCGCCATGCCCACCAGCGCATGCCTGCCAGCATGATGCACCACGCGTGGGGGTTGGATGGAGGAGGGGGGGAATGGATATGGTGGTGGTGGCGGTGGTGGTGGCGGTGGTGGTGCAGAGAACACATGAGGCAGAGAGACCACACGAGATGCAGGGAGAGGGAAGCGAGTAGTGCGGAGGAGGTGGAGAGGCAAAGCAGGGGGAGAGCGGAGGGGGGAGAGAGAGAGGGGGAAAGCACAGGCAGCACGGGCTTGAGAGGAAGACAGAGCAGTGGTGCAGGTTGCACCGTGCGGACTGGGAAGAATAGCCAGGGAGGGAGGGCAGCACAGCATTCAGGTATGACGAGAGTCAGTGCTCCAAGCATGCACCAGGTATGGGGGTCGGACTCGTTCCAAAGGCCTCCATGCCCCATACATTCAGAGTGGAGGTGGGAGGAACGTAGGGGCAGCAGCGGCACGGAAGAGTGGCAGTGACACGGAAGAGTGGCAGTGACACGGAAGAGTGGCAGTGACACGGAAGAGTGGCAGTGACACGGAAGAGTGGCAGTGACACGGAACAGCAAGGTGGCAGTGCTATGAGAGGCGTCAAACGCAGCTCTGATTTGGCTGGCAGGGTGGGGTTGCTGGCAGGCACTGACAGGGAGCAGCGGAAGTGCGCTGTGGTCTGCATGCATGCGCTGCTCGCAACAACTGTCACACTCTACACAGCACTTGCTGCCAGTGCCACCTAATGCGGGTCCTTTGCACTGACAGCGAGGAGCGGAAGTGCGTGGTGGTCTGCATGCATGCGCTGCTCGCAACAACATCAGCGAAAGTGTGTGGTGGTGTCATAACCCTAAACATCAGTTGCTGCCAAGTGATGCCATAACACCTAAATGAGAACCCCAATGAGAATCCTTTTGAGGCGCCTCAAAAACCCCAATGAGACTGACAGCGAGGAGCGGAAGTGCGTGGTGGTCTGCATGCGCTGCTTGACTGCCTTGCTGGGCGTGAACACGTTTTGAGACGTCTCAAAATGTGGTTGGCAGGGCGGGGTGGCAGTGACAGGGCGGGGCAGTACTCACAAGGAGGAGCGGAAGTGCGTGGTGGTCTGCATGCGCTGCTTGACTGCCTCGCTGGGCGTGAACACGTTTTGAGACGTCTCAAAATGTGGTTGGCAGGGCGGGGTGGCAGTGACAGGGCGGGGCAGTACTCACAAGGAGGAGCGGAAGTGCGTGGTGGTCTGCATGCGCTGCTTGACTGCCTCGCTGGGTGTGAACACCGCTGACGTCGCCACACTCGCCGCCGCCCCCGCCACACAATGCGCCACTGGCGCTAGGCGCTGGGGGGGGAAGAGAGAGGACAGAGCGAAGTGCGGGGGAGAGGGGAGAGGGGGGAGAGGGGAGAGGGGAGAGGGGAGAGGGGGGAGACGGGGAGAGGGGGGAGAGGGGAGAGGGGGGAGAGGGGAGAGGGGGGAGAGGGGAGAGGGGGGAGACGGGGAGAGGGGAGAGAGGGGAGAGGGGGGAGACGGGGAGAGGGGGGAGACGGGGAGAGGGGAGAGAGAGGGGAGAGGGGAGAGGGGGAGACGGGGAGAGGGGAGAGAGGGGAGAGGGGGGAGAGGGGGGAGACGGGGAGAGGGGAGAGAGGGGAGAGGGGAGAGGGGGAGACGGGGAGAGGGGAGAGAGGGGAGAGAGGGGAGAGAGGGGAGAGGGGAGAGTTGGGGAGAGGGGTGAGAGTGGGAGAGGGGAGAGAGGGGGAGAGGGGTGAGAGGGGGGAAGGGGAGAGAGGAGAGGGCGCGGGGAGGACGGGAAGAGGGGCATGGATGGAAGGAAGCGTTGGGGAAAGGTGTGCATGCAGTGTGCACGAAGGCTTTTTAGAGTGCAAGCGTTGGGAACGGCACACACACTGCAACGTGAAGTGCCGTGTGCATGCAAGTGGCACCTTGTGAGTCGACCCAGAAAAGAGAGAAAACCACAGCAATCCTCGCCCTGATGCCCCTCTCCCCCCAATCTCCAGCCACTCCCCCTCTGTTTCTACCCCCCCACTCCCCCGTTCTCCCTCTTCCCCTGCCCCCCCACCTGCGGCACGAGCAGCAGCAGCGCCTCCTTAACAGCCTCGTACGTGCACGCGTAGATGGCGCTGATGGGCGCCGCTGTCGCCAGACTCGCCGCCACTCCTGAATACAGCCCCAACGGGCCTGGGGTAGCGGATGGCGGAGGGCGGAGGGCGGATGGGGAATGGGAGGGGGAAGGAGGGAGGGGGATGGGGGATGGGGATTGAGCATGGGGGATTTGCGAGTAAGGAATGAGGATGGGTGATTGGGGTGGAGGGAGAGAGCCAGGACGAGGACGAGGGACGGGGGGAGGGGGGAGAATTGGGCGAACTGGGGGGTCAAGAGCGGGTTTGAAAGGAGGTTATGTGGGCGGGAAGACACGAGAAGGAGGGATGCACAGATAATGGAAGGGAGTCGGGAGTGGGGGGAGTGAGAAAAGCAGTGGGAGGGGAGGGAGGGGGAGGGGAGGTGGTGAGAAGGGGAGGGGAGACGAACAGAGGCATGCGAGCAACAGCAAGCCACAACACCACCCTGTGACTACCATGCCCTTGTAGCCCCTTGAAACTTCCCCTCATTCCACACCCTCCCCCCATCCCTGCCATTCTCACACCCCCCTCCCTCCCTCCAGCTCCCGCCTACCTCCTCCTCCCCCTCGCCCTCCCCCTCCCCTCCCCCCTTTCCTCCCCCGCATCCCCCCCCCACTCTCCGCGCACCTTTCTCCGCCACGACGCGTCCCACGGCGGAGAGCACACCAGACGGCGCGCCGGAGCCGCGGTGCGCCTGCAGCACGGTCTTGACTGTGTCCAGGGGGTGGATGCACACGCTCACCACGCCGCCCGCCAGCCCGCCCGCCAGCGCGTTCCGCGACGCGCTCGTGCGCCGCGCCTCGCCCGCGACCGCCGCCGCCGCCGCCGCGCCCGCGGCTCGGGCGGAAGGAGCGGCTGCAGCGGCGGCGGCAGAGGTCGTGGCGGCGGAAAGAGCGGTAGCAGAGGCAAGAGGAGCAGCTGCAATGGTCGCACTGGCAGCAGCAGCGGCATTGCGAGCAGCAGTGACAACGGCAGTATTGGCGCCCCCTTGCTGCTTCTGTGCTTTGCCCACCTCGCCTGCTTCGCCCTCCTCTCGCCCCTCTCGCTCTTCTCGCTCATCCCGCTCCGCGCTTGTGTCTCCGCCCCGCGCCTCCCCCGCCGCTGTTAGACCCCGAACCCCGCCGCCCGCTTCACCCCACGCCTGCGCGGTCCCCTTCCGCCATCCCCACGGCAGCAGCTTCCGCCAGTGCGCGCCGTTCCCCGCAAGCGCTTCGGCCGCCCGCTTCGCCGCGCCCTCCCCCGCGCCCTTGGCGGCGAGCGCGGACGCGGAGATCGACGCCAGCAGCGGCGGCGGCGGGGGAGGGGCGGCGGTGAGCCGGGAGGAGGCGCGGCACGAACCATCACCTACAACCAAGAGAAGGTTTTCCGAGCCTGTCACCGAGCCTGGTTCCGAGCCTAACAGGGCATGGCAGTCTGGCAAGGCGGGGCGAGAGCGTAACGCGATGACTGTCTGCTGGGCCGTACTGACCCTCCCGTTCTCGCCTCTACCCGTCGCTGTTAAACCCGCATCTCCTGCAGTGCTGCCTCCGATCGCCGCACCGCTCGACCCCGCTGCGCGCTTGCCCCGTCCGCGCTGCTGATCGCCCCCCCGCTCCTCCGCCAAGTGGCCCGACGCCGCGCCGCTCTTCTCCCTGCGCCCGACGCGCGCTTCTCCCGTCGCGTGGCGCAATGCCTGGTGCTGCCTGGCGCTGGGAGGCGGAGAGTTGTCCGCGCAGGGGCGCGCGGGGAAGGTGGAAGGCGCGGAGGCGTCGAGCAGCAGCACGGGGAGGTGCTCCCCCCACGCCGCCGTCAGGAGCTCCAGCTCGTACCCCGCCTCCCACGCGCGATTCGCGGCGCCAGATGCGGCGCTGGATGCGGGGAGGTGGTTGGCTACTGGCCGTCCCACTCGTTGCGCATCCGACAGCTGGAAACTCGCGCAGACTGAATCCGATCTGCCCGACGGCGAATCCTGGCCGTGCAAACTGCTCCCAAGAGTCTCGGTGACGCCAGACGAGCCCACAGAACCACCCAGAATTGCCGCCGCTCTGCCCGTTCCCCCTTCAATCTGCGGAGCGCCGCCAGGAAGAACCCCCACCCACTCGCACGCGCGTCTGATCCGCGCCTCGAGATCCGCGCCGCCCCCTCGTCGCGCTCCTTGTTGCGACGCACCTCCTCCCTCGCCGCCATTCTCCCCACCAGCCCTTTTATCCGCTCTCACTACCCGCCCCAATTCCCCCTCCTCTCGGCTCTGACCCGATTCCGCGCCGCCCCGTTCCCCCGCTCTTCCTCCTTTCCCCTGAGCGTCTCCGCCTTTGCCCGTTAGCGGCCACCTGCGCGCACTGGGCTCTCCCCCCCACACCCACGCTCCCCCTCTCCCCGTGATCCGCCCCTCGTCGCCGCTCCGCGCATCCCAATCGGCCGCAGCCGACGCCCATCCGCGAACGGCGGCGTCGGTCACGGCGTCGTCGTCGGCACGCGAAACGAGATCTTCTGCCCATGGATGCTGCGGCGCGCGCGACGGCCGTGATCGCGCGCCGTTGGATGCGGCGGGCGCCTTGATGTCGCTGGGCCACCACATGATGACGTGGTGGCGACAACGTGCGACGACTCCGCCTCGCTAACGCCTTCGCGAACCGCTTCGTTTCAACGAATCCGCGATGCAACAGTAATTACAGCTCGCTTCCGAGTCGACACCCTGAAATCGCCAACCGTACGAACGGGGTGGGGTACCAGAATTGGCTGCAATCACAGTTCACAGTTCCCGAGTAACTTGCATTAGCTTCATCTAGCAGCAATTGGCCTAAATCTAGCTACCGAGCGAACGTAGGTCCGATTGGCGATTACAGCCGTGATGATGCTCGAGTCTGGCTGCCCGTGCAACGATCTCAATTCTCTTGTCTCCTTTTCTGCGGTGATCCGTGCGTGACCGTGAGCAAATAAACACGGCCTGGCGACTGGGTGCTCTGCTCAGCGATGCTGCTGGCAAAAAATGCGGGTGGGTGTGGAGTGGAGCGGAGCGGAAAAGGCGGGATGGATGGATCATGGAGGTTTGAAAGTTGCTAGGGAAAGGAAAGGGTGTTGTGTAGAGTATGACAGTAACGAGGGATCACGCAGGGACGGATCCCACCCGCGTGACCACATCCAGGCTCAACGGATTTGTTTTCGTTTGCCCCACTTGAGCACTCGCGCACGACGGATGATTGGTCGACGGGGGCTTTTGCCAGGCTGAACCGCGTGGCCTTCATTAACGGGAATAGGTTGTGCAATACAGTTCAGTGACTGAACGTGTGTTATAGGGACTCCATACAAAAACATTATATTCATACTGTTTATAGAACGCTCTGATAGTGGAAGCGCAAGCACAGAAAGTTTAGCACGTAGTACACTTCTCGACAGTAATGTCTGTCCCGTCTGTATGCTTCTCCCTCTATTTTGCTTCTGCTCGCTGCATTTCTTTCCTGTCCTCTGCCCTCCGCATTTCCCGCTTCTCGTCTCTTTCATGTCCTCGCCGCATCCCCCACTCCTGCCCTTACCTTAGGAAATAGTTACTCTAAGTGACGGTGTGGCTTCGTTTTCTTCCTCGTCGTCTTGCTTATCTGACCTTTTAGCATCTTCTTACTTTTAAGGCGCATAAAATCTTCTCGTTCGTCCACGATCGTCGTCGCGCTATTCGATACTCGATATAGTTGCCAACGGAGAATGGCGTCGTGATTCATGCTTTCATGCTCCTCGCGCGTCCGTCCGACGGATTAATTCGCGTGCGTGCCACTTCTGAAACGCCTCGAGATTCGCGAGCCGTGATTTTCATAGTCAAGTGATTTTCCCGTTTTCGAGGAGAACTAAATTCACGTTTGGCGGCCGTCTGTCGACGCGGGCCGTTGTTAGACTGGTTACAGTCGAGTGATTACCGACGAGTCGTTAGAGAGGTTTTGGCGGGAAACGATGGCCCTCGCGTCGCTCTTCGGCTTTCCGAACATTCCAGAGGAATCTAAGGTGCGCCACTTGCTGCGCCGTTTGGCTGGGAAAGTGGCTGCGAATCCGTGTGGGGTGTGTCTTGATCCGCTACTGTTCGATGCATTCCCACCCATGCCCTGTCCATGCCCTGCCACGTGCATGAACACACGTGCCCTGCCACGTGCATGAACACACGTGCCCTGCCACGTGCAACCATGTGATCGCGTTGATGCCTCGCCACATCAGCTCCCATCCCTCTTTCCGCCAGCCTTATGCCCCTTCCTCCTTTCGTCTCCATACCACTCACCGTCTACCCTTCCCCCTGTCCCTCCCCTGGGACTGGTCTCTCCCCTGCTGCCCGTGTGGACACATGCGCCGTCCCTCTTCGCCCCCTCGCCCCGTCGCCCCCCCTCACCCGCCCTCGCACTCCCTCGCCTCGCCTCCTCGCCCCGTGGCACCAGAGCATCGAGTTCTGGAAGGATCCTGAACGCTCCGGGTGGCTCACAAAGCAAGGTACGGCCAGAGCAGGGGAGGGAGGGAGCAGGGCGGGGAGGGAGCAGGGCGGGGAGGGAGGAGGTTTGGGAGAGAGGAGGGGGGGAAGAGAGCAGGGTGGGGAGGGGCGAGCAGTGTTCAGGGAATGTGTTGTGTGTGCTATCCATGTGTGATTGTGTGTTTCTTCCTCGTCTCGCCTTTCCATTGACCCCACTTCTTTCTCCCTGCCCACTCCTGCTTCCCTCATTGCATTCCCCTCCTCATTACCCCCATCTCATCCTGTCTCCCGCCGTTCTGCCACCCACCCTCCCCCCCTTCTCATCCTGCCGTCCCTCCACACATCCCACGCCCTGTTCGCCCCTCACACCGCACTCCCTCTCTGCCTGTCATCCCACCCTCGCCCACAACCCCCCTTCTCGCCTCCCTATTCACCCCTCTCCATTTCTCTACACTCCCCTCGTCCGCTTGTCCTTTTTCACTTCACCCTCCCCTCGCATCCCCACCGCGCCCCTCACGAGGCCATCCTATCCTATCGTGCACAATGCCTACCTACTACCACCTAGCAACCCGCGCACCATGCCTCCTTGCCGTGCCAACAACTGTGCTCGTTACAGCCTCTTGCACCACTCCCTCCCCCCATCCCTCCCCCCATCCCTCCCCCCATCCCTCCCGCCAGCCCTCCCTCCTCTCGACCTTCCCCCCATCCTTCCTCCCACATGCCTCCACCCATCGCATTCCCCCCCCCCCCACGCCTCCCTTGGCCGCTGCCCCCAGGCGAGTACATAAAGACGTGGCGGCGGCGGTGGTTTGTGCTGAAGGAGGGCCACATGTTCTGGTTCAAGGACGACAAGGTCTCCAAGGTGGGCGGGGGCTGCAAGGGTACACGAATGCAAGGGGGGGGCTGCAAGCGGGGGGCTGCAAGGGGGGGGCTGCAAGCGGGGGGCTGCAAGGGGGGGGCTGCAAGCGGGGGGCTGCAAGCGGGGGGCTGCAAGCGGGGGGCTGCAAGGGGGGGCTGCAAGGGGGGGGCTGCAAGCGGGGGGCTGCAAGGGGGGGGCTGCAAGCGGGGGGCTGCAAGGGGGGGGTTGCAAGGGGGGGGCTGCAAGGGGGGGGCTGCAAGCGGGGGCTGCAAGGGGGGGCTGCAAGGGGGGGGCTGCAAGGGGGGGGCTGCAAGGGGGGGGCTGCAAGGGGGGGGCTGCAAGGGGGGGGCTGCGAGGGGGGGGCTGCAAGGGGGGGGCTGCAAGGGGGGGGCTGCAAGGGGGGGGCTGCAAGGGGGGGGCTGCAAGGGGGGGGCTGCAAGGGTTCGCACATTCATTCACGCACTCCCTCACTTGCTCACTCGCTCGCTCACTCACTCACTCACTTGCCCAGTCACTCACCCACTCCCCTTCGCAAGCAGGACTCGCAGCCGCTGCCGCACGGGGTGATCAACGTGGTGTGTCTGACGATGAAGGGCGCAGAGGACGTGATCACTCCCTCCCTCTCTCTCTCACACACCCACTCTCTGTCTCTCCCCTCCTCCTCCCCCTCCTCCTCCCCCTCCTCCTCCCCCTCCTCCTCCTCCTCCTCCTCCTCCTCCTCCTCCTCCCCCTCCCCCTCCTCCTCCTCCCCCTCCCCCTCCTCCTCCTCCTCCTCCTCCTCCTCCTCCTCCTCCTCCTCCTCCTCCTCCTCCTCCTCCTCCTCCTCCTCCTCCTCCTCGGACTCGCAACCACGCTCCCTACGTCCCTCCCTCACACACACACTCACCACTTCTCTCCCTCTCCCTCCCCTTCTCGCAAGCAGGACTCGCAGCCACTCAGTGTGATCAATGCAAGGTGGTTTCTGACCATCAAGGGCGCAGAGGACGTGATCAACCCCTGCTACCCACTCACTCGCTCCCTCCCTCCCTCCTTCCCTCCCTCCTTCCCTCCCACACACATTCACTCCTTCCCTCCATCCCTCCCTCCCTCACACACAAACTCGCCCACTCGTTCTCTCCCCGCCTCCAGGACTCGCAGCCGCGCGGGGTGATCAACGTGGGGCGGTGTCTGACGATCAAGGGAGCAGAGGACGTGATCAACCGCGCGCACGCCTTTGAGCTCTCCACCTCCAACGACACGCTCTTCTTCATTGCTGACTCCGATAAGGCAAGCTGCCCTGCCCTGCTCTGCTTGCTCTGCTGCCCGCTCTGCGTGCTCCGACGAGGTCTGCTGCTCTGCTTGCGTTGCTCCCCGCTCTGCTTGCACCACATCACAGATAACCCACGCGTTGCTTGCACCTCTGCACTTCCAACAACACGCTCCTTCTTTATGCTGACTTCGGGAGGGTCTGCTGCACGCTTTTTCTCCTCGCTCATTCTTAGATCTACGCTCTGCCGAGTGATGGGCTAGCCAGTGATGGGCTAGCCAGTGATGGGCTAGCCAGTCAGGTCAGGTCAGGTCAGGGGACCCTTCGTGGTGCTCTCCACCCTTCCTGGAACTTTTGAAAGCTCTCCAACATCAGTGACACACCTTGACTCGGCAAGGCAGGGGTTGAAAGAGGGTTTAGGGCTGTGCAGAGAGGTGCAGAGTGCTGGACACGCGCACAGCACAGCTCATGGGCGCGGCATGCAGGCAGGATCGCACAGTGGAATGGCAGGCCAGCTCACATCCCCTTCCTGCGTCTCTCCCAACCCACGACCTCATACGCCTCAAACCCCCTCATCCCTCTTCTGCCCCTCCTCCCCTCCTGCTCCCTCCCCCCTCCCCTCCACGCCCCCTTCCACCTCTCACTCTCCCTTCCATCTCTCACCCCACCACTCCCCTCCCCCCATGTGTGGCTGGCAGGAGAAGGAGGATTGGATCAACTCAGTGGGGCGGGCCATAGTGCGGCACTCCCGGTCAGTCACGGACTACGAGGTCCTCGATTACGACTGCCGCTCTCACACCCGCGGCCCCGCCCCTCCCGCTGCTGCCACGTCCCCCTCTGCTGCTGCTGGTGCTGCTGGTGAAGCTAGGTTGGATCCATCCGGTGGTGACCCCTCTGCCAGTGACGCCAAGGGGGAGCTTCCATCCGATGCTGCCCCAGCTGCTCTTCCTTCAGCATGACCGCACCGCACCACACCGCACCGCACTGACTTGGTTGGGGCTGCAGAGGGCTCTTCTCACGCCCACAGTGGGTGGGTAGCCCCGCCCCGTGCGTAGCCATGTGTATAGCAGCACCGATGGTGCAGTGCAGCGTCGAGTGGTGGGCACTTGGCAAGCGATGTACTGTTGCCTTGTGTTGTGAATGGGAGATATGGAGGCCGTGCGCTTGCAATAATACAAGTGCTAACAACTGTGCTTACTACGCTTATAGAAGTTTTGAGCTCACTGTGTTCTTGCTGGATGAATGGTGCATGTGTACGCAATGTGTCTCCATGTCCCTTCCATATACCTATGTGCTAGATGCTGTGGAATGGATGGGGGGTAGGTGAGGCTGTGGTACTGGGCCTTTTTGTGCTGTAAAACTGAGCAGTGTATTGTTGTACATACGAAGTCTTTCAACTCTGAAGTGGTAGATTTACAAGTTTCGAACGCAGTATTCGTCCTGGCATTCGTATTCTCCTGCACATACCGTATGACCCCCAGGCTGGGCTCTTGCTCTCGTGGGAAATTGGCACAGTGGAGGTACCGTATGTTTTCCACACAGCAATGCCAAATTGCTCACACAACAACTACCGGTGGTGCGATGTTTTGCCTGACAACAACGACGTAGCCACGTCTTTTTAACAAGAGAAAGAGTGACTAAAACGAGGCATAGACGGGGGCTACATAGCAACTAATGTTAGAATTGTATTCTTACCGTATTACCCCGGATAAAAGCGCAGGTGCGCTTATAATAAAACAGTGTTTTTTGGGGGGGTGCGCTTCTAATTGAGGTGTCTGTATACGCGCATGCGCCTATAATAAGGAAAAAATGAAATTCACTTTTAAACATACTAAACTGAAGCCCGCAATAAGGCGAATCCAACGGACCATGCAACAAGTGGGATCGTGCATGGTTTTCAGGCAAAAACAGCTGCGGTTCGGTTTCCCACCGCACAAAGTTGTCTAGAACCATCGAACGTGACAGGAGTGACGGGGATGTTGCCGTGCGGCCCAATCACAGCCGCATGCGCTGCGTGGCATCTGCATTTCTTCCGAACCCTCTCGAAGGGTGGGGAAGATTCCCTGCCAGCGCAGCGAATATGCTGCCACGCAGGTTCCTCTAGGGGGGTAGGCGGGGGTTTCCTGCCTGTCATTGACGAGGACCCCGAGCCGCTAGCCCGCAGGGGTCCCCGTCGTTGCCCATTTCTGCACCCTCCTCCTCATTTTTTCCATTCAGTTTCTAGTCTAGCCCGCCTGGCTGGCAAAGCCATGGCGGAATTCAGTGGGACGCACCTCCTTTTCAAGAAGAAACCAACCCGCGCCTGGCGACTAACCTCGGACGGGTGGTATACACGTGAGCCACCAGCGCCTCCAGTGCCACCTACACCCCCTGCACCGCCTGCTCCGCCTGCTCCTCCTGCACCTCCTGCTCCTCCTGCTCCTCCCGCTCCTCCGAATCCTCCGACTCCTCCTGTTCCTGACGCGTGGGGTCACCATCGGCCCGTGCTCCAGTTATATTTGCCTGCCACTTTCGACGAGTGGTTGTCTGAACCGGACACACCCAAGGCTAGGCAAATCAATGGTCCGCCGACTGCACCTCGGTGGGGAAATCCTGAAGCCTGCACGTGGGACGAGTCGGCTGTGGGCGCCGACGATGACGTGGCCGCCGATAAACAACCCACATGCGACGGCGATGCTGGAGGCAACGGTGGAGTCGACGGTGAAGAGGGCGCCGAGGAGGACGTGTTCCCAAATCGTGAAGCTACAGACGCGGACGACGACGGTGTGGAGTCTTGGTGGCGCGACGCACCATGCGAGAAGATGCCGATACCAACGTATCCGTCGATTAACAAAAAACGACCCCACCCCTCCTCTGAGAACCGAGATGCCCGCCCCCCCCTCTCCCAGGCACAAGCCGACTCAACACAAACGGCAGCGCTACACCGCCCAGGAGAAACTGAAGTGGCTCGTTCGGCTGGAGCTTGCTGCATCGATAAGCGAGGTCGCGCGGGAGTCCGGCATACACCGCAAATGCCTCACAGAGTGGAAAAACCAAGCGGAGGAGCTCAAGGCTGCACACAGTGCTCGGTGTCGACTTCATGGGCGCGGAAGGTCTTCCTGGTACAGACCCATGGAGATGAAGGTGTACGCCCAACTCCTGGACTGGCGACGCCGCGGTGTGGCAGTATCAGTCGGCCGGCTGCAAGACTGGTCAAAAGAGGTGATGAAGGTGTTGTTCCCGGACGTCAAGTGGAAGGCGAGTCAGCGCTGGACGGAGCGGTTCCGCAAGCGGTGGAATCTCACCGTGCGCATGAAAACAAAGGTGGCGCAAAAGACACAGCAGCGTAAGTGCCTGTCCGTGCACTGTCATCCTATCGTGAAATTTTATCTTGTATTTCAGTACTTTCTTGCCCATGTTTGTTTATCTGTAGCGGTGCTCATCCGCCCTTGTAACCGTTCCTCCCTCCCCGTGCGCAGACGTGGCCAAGCAGTGCAAGGAATTTTGGCAGTTTGTCCGCGACGCACGCCACGACTACGACATCGACAATCGTTACATCATCAATGCCGACCAGACGCCTTTGTGGCTGGAGATGCCGGCGACTACCACGGTGGAGCAGACGGGCGTGAAGTCGGTGCCCATCCGCAGTGGTGGTTACCAGAAAGAGAGAGTCACTGTGATGCTGGCGTGCACGGCGACGGGTGAGAAGTTGAAGCCGTGGGTGTTTTTCAAGCGCAAGACCCTCCCAAAGGGTGACTTTCCGAACGGTAAGAAACTGCGTATGCGCGTGTTTCCGAGGGGAAAAACAAAAGTAAAATCTAACCACCGCTTGCTTGTATGCAGATGTCGTGGTCGATTGCCAAGCTAACGGGTGGATGGAGGCCTCGGGCGTAATCGAGTGGCTCGGTGCAGGCGTGGTGCCGTTCCTGAAACCGAAGTTCGGATTGCAGAGCCGGAGCGCCATGCTAGTGCTCGACTTCTATCGTGGACACCTGACACCCGAAGTCAAGGCGAAGTTCGCGGAACTCAACATCGTGCCGGCGGTCATCCCAGCGGGATGCACGGCAGACTTGCAGCCGCTCGATGTGTCGGTCAACAAAAGCTTCAAGGCGAGTGTTCGACAGCAGTACCAGACTTGGTTCGAGCAGGACGGCATGAACATCCTGACACCCGCAGGTACGCAAAAGTGTTCTCCCGTGACCGCTTCGTCTGTATGTCTGCCTACTTGTGGACCCACGTGTTTCCCACCCCCGTGTATGTGGTGCAGGGAACATTAAGAAACCATCTCCGGAGGTGGTGCTCAAGTGGATTTCACGGGCGTGGAAAGCTGTGCCCGCCGACCTGATTAAGAGAGCGTTCCTCACCTGCGGCATCAGCAATGCCCTTGACGGGAGTGAAGACGGACTGGTGCTGGCGCACCGGAGAGGTCAGCTATCCCACGAGGTAGAGGTTGATGACGACATCCAAGCAGACGGGTTCTTTGGCAACAACTCCACGGAGCCTGAGTCGGACGAGGAGTAGGCCTTAGGCTAGACTAAACTTAAAAATGTTGTGTAGGCTAGGATGCTAGTCTAATGTATTTGACTTGAAAGTTTTAGTTGAAATTTTTAGCTAGAGTAATGTAGTTTGTACGAAGGTTGTAAAGAAAGTGAAAAAAACAACAGACATTCTTGTCTATACAGCAAGGGTGCGCTTATAATAAGTAAGGTTTTTTTAGAGGGTGCGCTTCTAATTGAGGATCGGCCATAAGCGCATTGCTCCAGATAGAAGCGCATGCGCTTAACATAGGCCTGCGGTTATATCCGGGGCGATACGGTATATATAACTGCATCCATACTAGTTAGTGTAGTATCAACTTAATGTGCAATCTGTTGGTGGTGTACCCCCCTTTGCCACCTTCCCTACCTACGTATATCTTGTACCTTCCTTTCTAGTGCAAACCCCTTCTGTCTAAACTCTCTCTCACAACTCTCGCTACTCACGCTACTCACTCTGTTGATTATAACAGCTATACCCTCTACAGTACTCGTAATCCCCCGTATATGCTAGGCCAGCACTGGGGATGCCCGATTGATCCTAGGGAAGGGTTACAGGCTTGCGAGCCTTGGGGGTTATATGCGCACTAACCTGCTACTTACCGTCATCGCCCAGATATAAGACATATATGTCTTATCTCGTACACTACTCAAAATGCTTGGGTTATCTTGTATTTTGAACGGTTAAGGGTGTCTAATAAGTCTAATAAATGGACAAAGAACCGTTTAGAAGATACCCCCTCGCTATACAATTGCCCGTAACCCCTACACTGGCTTAACTCGTACACACAAATAGGTGTCTTATAATGAGGCTAGCCTCTTTATAACAGACACCCGGATAATAGACAACCCTTGTCTACTATTCAACACCGAGCGACGACGGTAATAAACCATTTTATCGAATTGATATAGTGGTTGGGATTCTGACACCCAGGTGTTGTGTTGAAACGCTTGAAAAAATGTCATTGGGCGTGTTGGAGTATGAAGGGAATTGAATCTAGCATTCCCGTAGGTGCAGCTGTATCGCACCCGTCATTATCGAAGCAGCGCTAGCGGCAGTATCAGATCAGCCCGCATCAAGGGCAGGAAGGTCAACAGTCGCAAGATTCAACTGTCGCGACTGTTGACCATCTGGACGGACGATTGACTAACCATCGAGGAATGGGAACAAGCTTAACCGTCCGTACGGTCACACGCAACAACTCGGTAACAAGAAGAAGTGCAATGGTCAGAATCACTGTAGAATTGCCTGTAAAGCTGTTAGAATAAGGGAATGTACCCCGCAGAGTACATGGCTAGCTAGATCTATTTTGTAAGTGTGTGATATATGTTTTAATGAACATTGTCATTTACATTCACTATGATCAGAGTTCATACCAACAAGACTTCCGCTACCAAACTCTCTAAGGCATTCCTATCCTATCCAAGATCCTTACCCTAACAGG